TTCCAGCGTGTCCAAAACCCTTGTGAACATTTTCAACCAAATCGGCGCGGCGGCTAAACATGGCATATCGTACGAGCTTGGTCTTACCATCCACCTTGACCTTTCGAAATACATTGTCTCCTTGAGCTTCAAAGTAGTCTTTGTGCTTCGTGAGATGTTCGCGGATATCTTCTGGCCAGGTGGATTCGGGTCTGTTGTAGTAGCGAGGCCAATCATATGGTAATTCTGTAGAGGGCATGCTGTATAAGAACTCCGGTTCAAGTGTTTCCTCAGCGGCAACGGTTTCGGGGCCATCTCGTCGTGATAAAAGGTCTGGTACACAGTTCTCGCGACCCGGCTTATATTGGATATCGGGATCATACAGTTCTAGTTCGGCCATCCAGCGTATGAGACGAGGAGTGGGTTTCAGTTGTGTTCGGAAATATCGCAATGGTAAGTGATCGGTATAAACAGTATATTCACGGCCATCAATGAGGCAGCGCCATGTTCGAAGCGCGTGTAGAATACCCAGGAGTTCTCGCTCTTGTGCAGGATATGCTCGTTCCGTAGAAGACAGCTTCTTCGATTCGTACGCTAACGGGTGCCATATGTTGTCGTCGCTCTCTTGTAAAAGTACGGCACCTACACCGAAGTCGGATGCATCTGTTTCAATACGGAAAGGCTTGTCCATATCTGGACTACGGAGTACAGGGGCAGCAGTCATTTTCTCCTTGATCAGTTTGAAACTGTCATCACATTCGTCGGTCCAGGTGATTGGGCGGCGTTTTGCCCCGGTACCACGAGTCAGATCCGTCAAAGGAGCAGCTATAGCCGCGAATCCAGGTATAAATCGTCGGTAGTGTTGGGCAAGCCCAATGAACTGACGGACCTCTTGAACGTTGCTTGGTATCGGCCAATCTTTGATCGCTTTCACTTTTTGGGGAGCTGGAAGGATGCCGGCGCCGGATACGTTGAATCCCACAAAAGTCAATTCACGTTTGTTAAACTCGCATTTCTTGAGGTTGGCAATAAGCTTCGCTTCTCGTAGTCGTTCCAAAACATGTTTGACGTGGTGTTTATGTTCTTCTTCGGTCTTGCTGTAGATCAAAATGTCGTCGAGATATACCAGCGCGAACTTGTCAAGGCAGTCGCCAAGGACTGTGTTCATGAGCCGTTGGAAGGTAGGTGGCGCGTTTGTGAGACCGAATGGTAGTACCAAGAACTCATATTGACCGTATCGGGTGTTGAATGCAGTTTTCGGGACATCATCAGGTTGGATGCGGACTTGGTGATAACCACTTTTCAGGTCGAGACTTGAGAAATACGCTGCGCCACGGAGTTGTTCAAGGCATTCGTCAATTCGCGGCAGAGGATGCTTGTTACGGACTGTCACTTTGTTGAGCGCTCGATAGTCGATGCACATTCGCATCGAACCGTCTTTCTTCTTGACAAAAAGCACTGGGGCACCCCAAGGCGAGGAACTAGGTTGGATTAATCCGAGGGCGAGCAGTTCTCCGATTTGCTTCTTCAGTTCTTGTAACTCAAGCGGGCTCATCTTGTAAGGCGGTCGGTTTACAGGTGCGGCGTCTTCAGTAGCTATAACATGCTGTACTCCTCGTTCTGGGGGTAGGCCAGGTAGATCATCGCGGAAAATATCTTCGAACTGAAGGATAAGGTCCTGCCAGTCCTTGTCAAGGTCGAACGAACGGATCTTGTCCTTCGTACCGATATGTACTAAATAGCATTCCGCCTCCCGTCGTTTTAGGAGCTTGTCGACTTGCTTGGCGGACACCAAATAGTGTAGCTGAGGGGTCATGCTTTTGTCTCGTACGGGTTCAATACAATAGGTTTGAGAGCCTTGAGATATATACCATCTGTCAGTGTTGAAGTCGGGCGAGGGAATGACGCGTTTGAGCCAGGTGCGTCCCAGGATTAAATCAAACTTGGTATCGAAGACGTTAGCTTGGACCTTGTCACGAAAGCCACCAATGTCAAGGATCAACTCGGCTCGTTCGGTGATGTCCTTCACATCTCCCCCTGCTGTTTCCACATGTCTAGGAGTGATAGGGCATCGTCGATAAGCGTGATTAGCCACTCTTGAACTGATATAGTTTTCGCTTGCGCCAGTGTCGATCATCGCCAGGAATTCTTGAGGACCGACAGTCACTTTATACAACGGAAGTTCAGTTTCAACTGCGGTATATATGTCGACCAGGTATGCATCATCTTCATGTATAATCCATTCTGCCGCATCAAAATAGAGTGAATCGTCTTCATCTTTATTGGCATCAGAATTACTATATTCTGGACTAACGCTTGCCTCTTGGGAGGATTTCTCTTCTACGGAACACAACTGACCTCCCTTCACAGTTGTGTTGGATAAAAATCCTGCTTCTTCGTCTTTTCGTGTTCTTCATCCATTTTTCGAATGGCTTCCAATCGATCGCGGCAATAACGTCGGTAGTGTCCTGAGCGACCACACCAATGGCACGCACCTTTCGTCCGGACTTGAGATGGCGATCTTTGTTGTGGGCGAGAACTCTTCTTCCAAGTGCGTGTGATGGCATCAAGGTCCATAGGTGTCACATTGCTGTTCTCCCAGTGAGATCGATTGGGTTGGGATAGCCAGTTGGGGTTCACCACGGGTTCGTTGGGGCGGTAACCATTTGCAATGGCGTGGACTGTTTCGAGGTGTTCGGCGATTCGGTAGGCATCGGCCAAGGTGGTTGGCTCCTTGTACAAGACTTGTAGGCGGGCATCGGGGTGTAAACCTTGGATGAAAGTGAATCGGGCATCGCTGTCGTTCATGTTCGGTAATTCCAACATCACGGTGCGGAAAGCGCGAATATAATCGGTAATGGATCCAAATTGTCGGAGGGTGGTTAATTGTTGGCGTGCAATTTCTTCTGAATTACGCGGCTTGAACTCGCGTATCACTGCACCTCGAAAATCAGCCCATGTTCGTGGTACTTCTTGGCTCAATTCGACATGTCGCCACCATGTCGCAGCATCTCCCTTGAGTAGAGTGGTTGCGTACGTAAGCTGCTGGTCTTCGGTCATGCCGCTCAGGTCAGCGTATTTATTGACCGAATAGAGCCATCCTTCTACCACCGCAGCGGTACGAACACCGGCGAAAGATTCGGGTTTCTCCAGCGTCACACCTCGGGGTAGCTGCCAAGAGCCCTGTGCTTGTTGGATCTGTTCTTGTTGCTTCTTCTGTTGTTGCATAATGTGCTGCAGCGATTCCATAATCGTGACCATAGCATTGGTCTGGTTGGTCTGGTTGGTCTTGTCGCTCATATCTAGTTCACTCGGGTCTTCTTGCGGTTCCTGGAGGGAAATGCGCTTTAACTTGTCAATTATTTAATCCAAAACTTCTTGCGGTCCGTTACGGGGGAATGCGCCTTGACTGTATAACTTTATGTGCTGAAAATTTTAACCTTTTCAGCCGCTACCAAATGTCGTTTTCGGGGTTTGCTGAATCTATTCCGGATACTGGTTCCACGGACGATAGATGAAGGAATAAACTAGAATTGGAGGATAGATAATTGATGATCTTTATTCGTTTTGATCGAGGGGGTATTTATATGTTTTTGGGTTAATCTATAATAATTTCGTAGTACGGCTTGGCAGGGTATTTTGGTTCTGAATGCTCAGCCTTTCGGCCGAGCTGTTCGATAAAGGAAACCTTTGCTTGAAGGTGATCAAAGCGTCATTACCAAAAACGTAAGTGTTGCCGTGAACGTTTTAGGAAATACCAAAAAAGGATACGACATTTGCCGCTTTTTTTTTGTACTTAATTTTTTTGCTGGGTCATATAGTTCACTGGGGACTAGACGCAGAGGAGATCTTAAGGATAGGGGAAAATAAATACTTTATTTTATCATCTTTGGGAAGATGTATTTTACGCATGTGTTCAGTATATGTCCAGAAAGAGACTAACGGGCGAGGCGTGAAGATGGGGAGCTGAGCGGCTCAACTTCAATGCACTTTTGCGAGATGCTAAGTTAATTACCCTTTTCGAACGTTATCCACTTCATCCACGGCAGTTGCTCTGCATTTGAAGTATGATTTTCCTTTACATTTGTTGGCGTTGATCTAGGGCAAGTCTTGACACGTTAGTGGATGCGATTTTTCGTTTGCGCAATGTAGAAAAAAAAACCAAGCTTCTGAAAAACTAGTCAAAGCAGACAACAATTCATTCTGCTGCGTAAGGATATTTTATTTCTTGGATCGAATTAGCGTAGTGTACGATTATTCATGTATCCATTTGGAGGAGAAGTACCGTCCATGAGCAGAAAGATAGAGCTTGCGCACAACGATGGGCGGAAGCGAAATAGGTATACCAGTCACGCTACCGATATTGATGACCTTTTACTTGCATCAATTTTGATTAAAATATGACAATGTCATGGTTTCGATCTACTTGCAGAAACATATTCGCCTTGAAGAGATACAGTGTGAGCCAAAGAAGCGTTCCTGCCTGCTCATTTCGGTCGTTACTAGCGTTAAACAACATCACCGAGATCCGATATACAGCGATGATCGTACACCAGCTTCTCGATAGATTCATAAGTATGATAGCCAGCTGAAAGGTATCTAAACGCCGAGCAAGGTGTGATTTCTTGGTTGTTTCTTGGATTATAAAAAAGCAAATTCAAGTTTTGTAACCGTCGTTCATATCAGGGGAAACCAAACTGTAGTTTGAGCCAAACCTTCCAGCCAATCCGACATCCAAGCGATAACAAACAACTGTCACTTCCAAGTCTTACAATAACTGTGGATGAACTAGCTACTGAATAAACCAATCCATGTCCCATCTCATTTTGATTTTCCAAGTTTATCAAGGTCGATGCAGCTCTTAGGAGGGCTCCGTTATCCGTTTTCCATGAGAATTCTGGCTCTTGGTTTTTTTTTTCTCGTTTATTTTTTTCTCTTACACGTGATTAAGCGACGCAAATACTTTCAAAGAGGTCTGACCATCGGGATAACCGTGATGAAACGTATAGGATTTCGAGAGTTCATCTCAACAACTGACTGGCGATTCTTTCCCTAGCGGTTTGGTATGCTTGCAGCAGTGTTTGTTCGCCAAACGGAATATCGACTGTATCTAAGCGTGGTTTTGATACCCGGCTAACGATTGCGTTTGCGTCTGTTTCCAAGATGATGCTAATAACATGACAATCGTTGAGACTCTTTGTGTCTTTCTTCCAAGCGCAACATGAGGTACTTACCCGCCATCGACTGTCTCGTCAAGACAAAGCACGACTAAATCCAAATTGTCCATCACGGATCGTTTTTCCACTTGATATCTATTATACAGACAATTGTCAACATTTGTCCCATCGCTACCCATCAACTAGACTGCACCTTAACAACGTGGAGACCGCATCGTAGAATGCGTTGAACATGCTGAGTAGAATTAGTTCGTTTTCTTCCATGCTACCAATCACGTAAAAGAAGATGTCGATATTCGATCGGTAAAGCACGACTTGATTATCATATAGAATAACTTCCCCTGCGTCCGAAAATGTACTGTCAATAAAACTGTGGATGTTAACTGATGTTGGGAAAGTTACCCTGTGCTCGTTTAGTTTTATCGAACAATCCCTTTTCGAAAGCCTTCTGTTCTTTCAGACTTGCGTGCTCTGAGCCATAATATTTGGCTAGCACGCGATTTCCTTCGGAATCCAGTAAAATGACTGCCTTGATGGAGTATAAGGAAAGATTCACCATAGTCAAGTCAAGCAGAAACGGTAAAAAAAAATTAGGGAATTCTAAATCAACCAGGTAAGAAAGCGTTCTGAAGGGCGTTCCACAGGCAGCGGAGATAGAATAAATAACTTACTTTGTCCGCATTGGAATTTCGGCCTACGATTTGCCTCGATGACCGTACTCGTTCCGAAGCGTTATTATTTTTGAGACCATCAGAGAGTTTATAACTCGTGTTTTAGTTGAACCGCCGGTACTGATAACGACTGCCCATCAAAGTTAACTACAAATGGTGGGCAGTGTTGAAGGAGGTTGGAACAACCGTTGTTTCTTGACAAATGAGTAAGCATCACAATATTGAGTTTGAGAGCTTTATTGAAGGTAGCATATGGAGAAGACACTAATCTGCTTGCATTACGAACGCTTCAGAAAACTGGGAAGTTATTGCTAAACATGGTCGATTGTACAGAAATTCGGCAAACATAATCATCAAAAAACTATAAAACTTGACTTGAGAGAAACATGGGTGTAGGCGGTATATGATTATTTAATTCTGCAGACAGCACCATCCAGGGGAAGACCTCAACTTGAGCTCAGTTTATTGACTGGATTTGGTCAAGGCTTAGAGTAGCTGTTCCATGTTTCTGTTGTAAGTGGGCAGGGCTACCACTTTCCATAAAATAGCGAGGCGTGTTGATCATGGTAAACCGTTCCTGGTTCATATGAGTCAAGCGCTTCAAAGACATTAATTTAAGATGTGCAACTGGGCTAATTTACATTCCGTCGTATTGGGGTTTCGGACAAGCACCAGCATCTTTTCTTCCCGGTGATATCTACAAAGTTCAAATAGCAAGTTAGAGATGGTTTATTGCAAACCATTTTAACGTGTATGTACCTTTCATCCAGTTGACGCAGTCTGTGGACTCCGGCAACAGTGCATGCACCAATACCGCTGCCACACGCACTCATCAGCGAATATCCACCATTTGTCAAGCATCCGATCGCTGTACACGATAACGAATCACTCGTGGACTATTTTGCCGTGATAAGCATGCTGAATATTGTTTGGAGACAACTTGGATAATCTCACCTTGACTGGCTCGTCGTTGAGCTGGTTTGACGCTTTAGATGACTCTTCTTTCACATACTGCTCGTAAATAGATTGTTCTTCGATAGCATAAATGAGAGCATTGGCTATAGGCTTTCCGGATCCTACATTCTGTACAGAGACCTTGATCAAAGCATTGTGCAAACTGAAGGTATCATCGCTATTCGGGACTTTTCGTTTATCGCACTGTTTGCGAATAAAGGATGCCAATGCCGATTGCGCTTCTTCTATCGTTTCACTTGCCAGTGCCTTGGATATCATACTGCTTCCTTGAAGAAGCCAGAAATTGGATGGTGTTTTCGAATGTTCTTGATTACACGCAGTATCGACATCCATCATATCGCTCGTTTCCTTGGAAACTAAAGATGCAAAGTCGGGCGCAAAAGGGGATTTGAAGTCCAATTTTTCATAGTTTATACGATGGGCCGGCGGTTTTCTTTTCCAGGCAGCTTCGGCTTCGTCCTTATATTGTTTCCACATGTCATCAAAGGCTTGGTTGCCCGGGTAGTCGAACGGAAAGCATGGGCGACCGCTTTCAAACAGCATGGCACGATCATCATCGAATCCGGCCACTCTTGCTCCAGCAAAAACGAGCGATTTCCAGAACGGCAGACCCCATCCACGAGGTAAGATGATAATCCATCCTTCGGTATACTCGGTGTTGGCGGCAGTCACTGAATTTGATTCACGGCTCTCATTGTCGCAGCCGCCTTTTTGTATGAGTAATATAGGAACTTGATTATCGTCTGGAGTGAACTCAGGTTTTAGTCCTAACAACGGCACCTAAAAACATACGGATCATCAGATTAGACTGACTTGCGCATAATATGTCTGATATAATATTTCACCTGTTTCCGTCGCTCATTCAATGTATGTTCTGTTGTTTTCTCTTCATACAGTTTCGTCCTTGTGCGCTCGTCCCAGATGTCAGATTGAGCAACATCATTAGGCCAATTTTGGAGGATGTTGTTAATACGCACAGCATCTGCAGGTGGGATGTGGTTGGAGCGCGGCGGCACTTTTTGTGGAAACCTAAAATGATGCGCGCATCAGACAAAATTTTGGTATTTTTATTGAATGAATGTTTTTCATTGTATATTCCATACCTGATCCGCGGATCCTGTACTGTCAAACCGATGACTACACCAGGAGGTAGTGAACCTGACGACCGTAAATTTTTAATATTTCTCCATAGCTGACCATTGCTCGACGTCATCCCTGCAGCCTGTGCATGTTGGCTCTCCTCGACAGGAGCCAAAACTGACTGTAGCAGTGCGGTCGAACGAGGCCCGCTCAGTTCGAATCGCAGTAAATTATCCCTTTGATCGACCACTTGCACCTCTGATAATGAATATGCATGAGCTCAAAGTAAACTTTCAAAGACTCCTCAGCTCATCCACCAAATTTTACCTTTCACGAGTCTATTTTCAAGATTGGACACCGCGTTTTCAATAATTTGCAATGCTTGACTGAAGGACGACGGGTGGATCCAAAGCCAAAGCATTTGAGTGTCATCCGCGCTCTTGACCGGTCGCCACAAATAGCTCACAGGGCAAATAAATCGTGACGGATAGCCGTACTGTTCATAAAGACAGGTATGTCCCATGCGTTGTCCCCTATGATATCTATTATATCTTATCTTAGAGACGAAACGATCCATCCAAGGTTTTCGAATTTTTGGTTCCCACCTTGCACTACCGATTGATGGAACTGAAATATCTGTGAGACTGTCGAACACCAGCTTGATATCATGCATTAAGCCATTCACTTGTAACACTCCGTAAAAAGAGGTATCCCGAAGGACAGTGAGGTGCTTAAAGGATCGGTACATTGTGCGTGCAGATTTGATGTTCGGCCGTCTCGCCTGAGTAACAAATATAATAACCGTCAGAAAAAAAAGAACGCAGGGTGTCATTCCTTTTACTTCACCAAAGAATATTACCAACCGATAACCCCATATATCCACCATCTTCATGCGTTTTGTATGCCACATGTGGGTTTCCAACCATCTTTTTTTGCCTGGTTTGACAAATCATTAGGAAAAAGTGATCATTTAGCGTTTTCATTGGCGGACATACTTTGTCGTCGCAAAAATTCCTGCACCAGTGATTTGGGTTTGCGTTTTCGCGTGATTCGTACACGTTTTTTAGGTGCTGGAGGTGTCTTGGAAAACTTTGTGAATAAACAAGAAATAAGACGTTATATTTCGTGTGAAAGTGAGCATGAGATGAAAGTGATGTTACTTCTTGTCGAGCTTTATCTCGCAATCGTAGAGGAAGTCGTTTAACGTTATGGCTGGCTGCTCGACGTCGCAATCCTCGGGGTAACGATTGAAAGGATAGGGTATTTAACGCGAAACTAAAGTGAATATGTGTTGAGAGTTGAACTCGAAGAGAGACGAACAATATCGCCATGTACCTTGCTTTCCGGATCGACGACTGCAAACCAATAATTTCCCTTAGCCTGGCTGAGGCTACAGAAGACGGTGTCATCGGCTGTCCAACTGCAGGTGAACCTTCCGCTACAAAGGCCATGGAAGCCAATTCAGTCATTCCGAGTCGTGAAAGGACGCACAATAGAGTATTTAGTCTGCTGACCTGATGGACTGCGTCCAGTGTTGATCTTTCGTTTGTCACGATTCATGGCTATAGTATGGGTCAGGTAAAGTAAACCAGTGTGCAATGGCAATAAGGATACCGACCTCTGCGCTTTTCGCGACCTGTCAGAACAATTGGCTCCTGTATTGGCCGTTTCCCGCTGGGATCAGTAGACATGATCTGATCTTCTGGTGTCAACGCTGTTGGAAGGGTTTGTCGCGTATTCGAATTTTTTTTTTTTTTTTTTTTTTTTTTTTACCGGAATCGAGATGGTGTTTGAGACTGCTTTTTAAATATGATAAAAGCAGAGATCTCTTCAACGGCCATCACTGGAGAAAAAGTAAGAAAGAAAGATATGCGCTCCTGACTCCTTACAAAAAAAAGAAGAAAAAAAAAAAACTCAAGGTCCACTGTGATACATCAAACGCCATTTTCTTGCCGACGAATGCCCACAATACCGCCCTTTTCATCACGGAACCGGACCTTTACTGAACACTGGCGCTTTGTGAATGTCTATAGTTGAATCCAGAACTTTTTAGAAAATACATAGATTATCTTACTGTTCCCTAAGTGTTTTTCTACATGCATCTTGAGCATTGTTCAGTAATTATATCGAGGAGAAGATTGGGGTTTTTTTTACAGTATACTGCTAATAGTACTATGTATTATCATCTCATACCAAACGAATGTCGAGTAATAACTGGCATCATGCGCCTATACACCAGTGTCAAGTTTTGCAAAACTCCTTACTCCATAGCCCCTTGATAGTTATCCCTTGGATGTGTGTAATTGGCAAGTGTAAAGCTAAAACAAGCATCAGAAGGACTCAATGCCTCGAACATATACAATTCCGTGATTGGCCGTCCTTGTTCAAGGAGAACTATAGCAGGCAAAACCGACTGTTTGCTTACTATAGATGCGGTGTACATAGTTTCCTCTGCAAAATTTTCAGGAAAAGGATTCCTATTCTACTTGAAAGTCTAAGCATGTCTGGTACAATGGGTGGAAATGCGTCTCAACTACTCCAATTGCTGTAGATATTTATATGAACAACAGTTTCATAGGTAAAAGGACGACATAAGTTAGTCTACCAAATTTGTCAATCGAGCCACGCAGCACTGCACACGATGCACAAATACACATATATACCCGCATACATGTACGCATAAACACGCACGCATCACTTTCCATTTCTCGTATGCTGTTCCTTTTCCTGTTGTATGTGCTATCGACAAGAACACGAACACCAAATTGCCACAAATAATCAAAACTTTCCTATGAAAGTTCTTTGTCCCTAACTTTTTCCCTCTCCTAGATTTTCCTCTGTTTTTGGTCTTTTTTCAATCTTTAAAAAGGGAGCTTCAGAATTCGTATCAGAATTCGTTTTTTCCTCTCTTTCTACACCCTCTTCCTTGAAAAAGAAAAATATACTACCTTTTGAAACAAATCAAACAATGAGTGACGACTTTGATCGACCGATTACCTTTTATCCCACCATTTCAGAAGAGATACAGCGCATTTACACTCCGGACCTCGTTAAATACCAGGCAGAATCACCGACGTACAGTATCGCTAGCAGCATCACCAGCAGTAATGGCACAACTTATACCAGCAGCAGCAGACCTAATTTGGAAGAAGCATACACCAAACTCGAAGGCTATCAACATAATCCAAATTCGATGATTGGAGCCTTGATCAATGATAATGACGATATAATAAATATTGCATCACGTCCGGGATTATTTCCGGATTCTGCAGATCCGGTCAAATCGACTTTCAAGAGGGATGACCTCCTTTCGCCACTTCCCGATTCCTTTTATGATGCTTATCCCCACTTATTTATGGCAGGGCAAGGAGGTCGGATTCCCCTTCCAACGCCACCTACAGATTGTACGTCTTTGCAACTGGATGAGCATTGGCGAAGCGTAGCCAAATACCCATCGGGCGAACTCGCTTTTTCTGATACAGAGCGTACCGACAACTACTCTCAACCATCTCGACGATGGACTGAAAGCGACCCTCTCTGTTATTCGACTTTACCATTACCCTGCTGTGCACCGAATTGCAACCCATCCTCACAACGTCCACGACAAGAGGCACCGGTGTCGTCTCTCACAAATACTATCAATTGTTTTCCATCACCACCGGAACGTCAACTCGCGATACCGCAAAAACATTCCACGACGACCATGATGTATCCGTGCGCCGTATCACCCATTACACCTTATTCTTCATATGAGAAATCCTATCACAGCTCTGAAACAACTGATCCAGGAAACCAGCATCCTTATCTATCGATGAGCGGTTATCCGTATTATGCGAATAACGCCGGTGCATTATCATTCCCTGAATGTTCTAGTCGACTCTCTAATGTTGAGTCCAAAGTGGTAACGGCGACGCCGAGAAGATACAAATGCACTATTTGCGTAAAGCGCTTCACTCGACCAAGCTCACTAGCAACCCACATGCATAGTCATACAGGAGAGGTAAATTATATGCTAATAAATTTCATTACAAGAGCAATTGCTAAAGATTCTTTTTGCTTCTTATTTAGAAACCGTACAAATGTATGGTGGAAAATTGCGGGCGACGATTTTCTGTCGTCAGTAACCTACGCCGGCATGCCAAAATACACGTGAATCATTCATAATTTAAAACTTCATGTTGACATTGCATACAAGGAGCACTTGGCATTAGACGTCCCTCCTTATTCTTTCACCTGCTTAATGCACATAAGCCCATCTTTTTGTAACTATTGCCATAAGGCTCATTGACTGAACCATACAGGTTCCAACTTTTTTTTTTGTATTTATGAGGCATTTTTATCTTTTTCATACATTCGATAACATACTTGTACCTATTTATCTTTATCCTCATTACTAGGAAATACGATCATTCATATGTTCGCTTCATATTATTATGCTCACTCGGAAATATCCGATAGATTCAACTTGAAATAATGTTGAAGGGTCATATGTTATGTTGACAATAGAAGAGTCAAAATAAATTAACAGCATTCGAAAACAAAAGCCTCTTTGGAATTCGGCCAGTGGAAGGTTCACCAGAGAAGACAACATCAGTTGATTGCACAGTTCCCAATTGGGGCGTCAATGAGTATCATATTTGAATCTAAGAGTTAACAAGCTGTGCATCAATTTCTGGAAGCCGTCTGCCACTGGAGGTTATCTCTTACATTGAGCGACGTTTCATAACTAACTAGCCGTACACCCGCTGTGCAATGGATGCCGCCCTCTTACATTGAGCGACTTTCGTCAGACATAAAGCCTAACGCATACACGGCATAACCTGGGCGAGAACTCTTGACGGAACTTCGGTATATTAATGGCAACCTTATGGCATACGTTGCAACGTGATTTGTTTCTGAACACGCGCAGGGCAGCACTGGTTCCCCCCCTCAATTCCATCCCGCCCAGGCTATGATAGATCTAGAAAGATTTGTGGGTATGTTGGGTATTTAAAAAAAATGAGTTAGTAAGCTCTTCGATTGATTCAAATTTTCGTCAAGATATTTTACCTTTGTTATTTGAGTTTTCGATAGCCATTGATCGCTTGACATGACTTGGATTATATGATATTGAAAAAATTTTGAATTAGTATACGTTCATTACATCATAGCAAAGGAAAAGAAATTGGACTTGCCTTCGAACCAGATGGCGTACCGGAAAAAAAAAACGATGAATACGGACCGCCAGGTAAGCTTCTTCTTCGATGCGGGAAATAAAATTGCTTCCAGGGACAGTTAAGCGATGGATCAGTGGTGTCAGCTTGAGCAGGCGAAAAAATATTGACGTGGCCAGAAGTGACGGTAATTTCGAGTTGGATTCCAGATATCGAGAAACCCCCGAATAAAAAGAAAGAAAAAGAAATAAAGTACATGATGATAAAAAAACAATGGTCGCGTCAGTAAAAACCTCCTAGAAAACCCTGTGGGAAAAAAAAGAGGAAAAGACTGCGAAAAGAATATGTACATGAAATATAAAATACAAAATACAATAATCGGGAAGACAACTCGAATACCATATGATGAGAAGCAATCCAAAGGAGAGGAACATGAAGAGGACACGTAAGCGTTGCCGATTAAAAAGAGCACACCACCGACGATGGCCTTTGGCGTCATCCGATTTCGCCAGATGGATGGATGGATGGATGGATGGCGAGAGAAAGTCAACTGTAGTATCCAGAACTTGTCAGGCGAAAAGAAAACGGAAACCGGAAGCTGGAAGAAGGATGGAAGTAAAGGAGAGGTAAGTCTGTTTTGCCGGAGCAAAATCGATGGTAGACCACTCGACGCTTACCTTTTTGAGGATGTTAGTCGATTTAAATACACGGGATAAGAATGGTCTGGATGATGGATGCGGATGGAATCTTGATACAATGGTAGTGAGGGTTTATCAAGCAAACAGAAAGAGAGAGAGAAACTCAAAAGAAGAAAGATAAAATTGAAGACAAAAATATATGATTCTCCATGGATGAAACAATAGTCACCCCACTGATGCATGAATTCATAGATCGAAGCACGTCTGCTTATGTATTATTCGATTCATTGAAAATTGAAAGAGAATGAAAGGACATATATAGTATAACTGACAAAAAAAACAACAAATTGAATGATGCTACAGAAAGAACGCCAGTCGTATCATCAACCACTTTTCTTCAAAAAGAGCTCTACTCACATTTTTATTCGAAAAACGACGATACTCTGTTTGACCACAACTGGTGCAAACGGCATCTTGCTGCTGATTGTTTCGCCTATTATCGTGAAAGTGGGCAGCGAGGCATGGTTGAAAGATGAAAAAAAGGTTTAACAGGTCCTGATAACTTAGTGTAGATCATGTGATTGACAAAACCGCTAATTTCCCAAAGATTTTAATTATGTAGATTTTAGCGTATATAAAGGCATAACCTGGGTGAGAATCTTGACTGAACTTTGATATATTAATGCCGTGATCCAATGCAATATGACTTGTTTCATGCGCAACGCAGCACTTATTGGACCCCATCCATTTCATTCGCGTCAACTTAAAGCACGCCATTCTGTTTTTAAAGGCAAGTGACCCACTTTCTTTGGGTCTGAATATTTTTGTTGTATACTGATTCGATTCGATGTCATTATAGCCCAAACCATGTTAAACTAGCAATTAGTATCAAAAACTCAAATAGCAAAGTCGGTATATTCGAGAATCGAAGTGTTAATGCATCAAGCTTTTTACAAACAGTGTCTAGATCAACATAGAAAAAAAGAAGTCAGATAGGGTAAAGGTAAGGGTTTTCTCGGTGCGGAAATAAGAGCGTCTGCGGGGACAACTAAACTATGGGATATTGTGCGTCGCTGTGTGTCAGCTTGAGCAGGGATTATTATCGTGAAAAGTAACGGTCTTTCGAGCTGGCGTGTACAAATTCTGCTCATCCAATTCATCCAGCTCATCCGACTTCCAAGCTTCTCAAACGCAAATAATCATACTCAAAGGCTTTCACACGCTTGTACGAAAATCCAGCATGATTGCAGACTGGTTCCGCCCTGTTCGGTATCAAGAAACCCAAGTGGAGCGGAGGAATTCATTCCTAAGGAGGAAATAATCGATTTTACGCGAAAATAGAGAAGGTAAAACACCATCTCTTATGCTTACTAAATGGACTCCTACTAACAAATTAAACAGCGGTATTTTCTAGCGCAGCATTGCATTGAATATGGTGAAATTTTATTCGTCGCTTGGGCTCTGCTGGCAGATGCGCCAAAACTGATCTTTTGATGTCCTTATGGACAAGGACAAATTCCTGGAGAACGGGTGCCTGTCTGGCACATTTGCTTTTTCTTCCAGCTATGAATTCCCACCGACAAGTAAATGCGACGGATCGGCAGGATAGACCGATCGTCCAACGGTTGAAACTGCTTCTTCCACACCGAGACTCCTAGCTCGTTGAACGAATTTCGAGGGAAATGAGCCGGTTCAAACCATCGCACAAAAGCAAAATCATCTATTTGGTCTTCGCCCCCGTCAGTTGTTTGATACTGTGACGGAAATAGTATTGAACTTCACCTAGGCACAGTTCAAAGTTACCACCAGACGATCGAAAGTAGGCCTGGATAGGGCGTCCCCTTTCGGTTCTGCCAGACTCTTTACTCTTGTAGACTTGCCCAGAGATCGTCACACTATGAAACTTCTTGATGGCGTTCAAGACCATCGTCAACCGCATATTGTCAGTGTCGCCATGGGGCCGAATGTCCTCATAGAACTTCTCATAGTGGGGGTAGAGGCACATAGAGTGCCTGGGATTCATCGTGACAGTGTGGCTCAAAGCAGAAAGACAAACAGCAGAGGGGATAGACTCGTAGCCAACAATATAATCATCTGCATAGATGGCTTCTGCATACTTGATAAAATTGCAAGCGCCCACGAAATCGACTGCTGGGTGGAAGCTGGTAGTCAACTTGTCCAAAGACGGTACCAGTGTTCTTAGCACAGTAAGGGCAGTAGGATACGCTGCAAGAGGCTCGCAAAAGGTGTGCAGTGAATCAACTAAAGGGCAAGGTTAGCTTTCAAAAAAAAAGCAGCAATTGAATAGACGGACTGGTATACATACTGTGAGAGTGTTCAATAAATTTACGCATTAGGGTAACTTCGAAACCATCCTTGCTGTTGACCGCGAAGCTCTTGAGGAAGCCATTCAGGCGCTCGAACCCAAACAACCAAAAGGCGTACACCGGGCCAAAGTCCAGAACCGTCTCGCGGAGATGCATATGCAAATGCATGTTCGCTGTCACTTCTTCGCATTTGTAACGGCCTTCATACAACTCGCAAAATTGGCGAAGTGTTTCGTGAGCAGAATTCAGTTGCGATACGGTGATTGAAGGATTGCAAAGCAGTCGAATGGCGGGCCACGAATTTCATCCAAATCGACATATCCTCTCCAACGAGCTTCTCCTTCAGTAAAATTGGCGAAATGAAAACCCACGTTCGCAACTCGTCTGACGTCAACGTACTGCAACCAGACCTGATTTTTCCGCTAGGTAAATCATAGCCAGTTGGAAGCAGAGTTTCGGTCATCCGAGTGCTCATTTCTCGAAACTCTCTATCTCCCAGAACAAAGAAGCCATTGGAGCCACGTAATGTCTTCCACAAGTCGATACTGCGCTTGGAAGTGCCCGAGAACAGATTGTGCATGGGGTCGACAATGGTGCATCGGACAAGGTCCAGGTAAGGTAGACGGTATAGCTCCGAGCATCGCATGCCATGTTGTCTTTCGATAACCCGCCGTTCTTCCAGTGTGACCGCCGATCTCCAACGCTCCGCACATTGAACGTTTTCATGCCCATTGCGTTGCGGCCACTGCTCCACATCAACAAAGCCAGTGAAGTCTCGTCTTAGATGATTGCCCGGCAAAGCATCAAATCGGCGGTTACATTTGTAACACGCACGAAAAGAGCCAATACCTAATAAATAATGGATTGTATGAGCTTCTGTAAATAATGCACTCATTAAATTACACACCTGTAAATCCAGAGACTTTACGTGCTGCTGGTATATCGCAAGCGATCATCAGCAGAGCTGCGCGGATCCGTCCATCACCGAGAGCGACACCAGTGTAAAGGGATTCCAGTTCGTCAACGAGCGGTCGCAAATAATGATTCATTGCATTTTTTTTGGGCTTGTGACTCCCTGGAATAACGCCGACCAACAGCACATTTTCAGGCTTGAACCTTTCGGTGCGAGGAAGATTGTTAATTGCCAGGTAAATGGCGCCAACGGAATGCATGCGCCCAGTATCAAAGGGTTGGAACCAGTCAACATTCAACGTGAGAAGAAGTGAGCGACGATCCTGATTGAAAAAAATGCCATCTGCATCATTAAGTTCGTTCCACATGCATCCGTCGTAAACATCGTATAAATGGTACTCTTCATCTGCATCATGAAAGAATTAGTATGGAAAATTTTATGAATAATATAGATGAAAGAATTTCCTACCTGCATTGTGCAAAGCTTCAGCACGATGTCTCCAGACATTGATTGATGTCTCAAAATTGGGACGTTGAAACATAGTTGCCAAAGTGCTCACGACGGAATTATATGCGTATTCTTTGATAGGAACAACACGGTTTCCGGTTGTACGTTTGAAAAGTACGTTTCCACACGAAGGACGACGCGGAAATTCGCGGCGTTTGCAACGGAGCTGTTCAGTCGGATCGGCATATTCTTCAAGTCGATAATGATCAGACCGAGTGGTACAGTGACAGGACGGACAAACGACGAATCTGACAACGGCATCTCTGGCTGACATGCCAACGTGAATGCGAAGTGTCGAAATTTTTTTTGGCAAACGAAGAGAGAGAGACCCCGTTTCGAACAAGGCATTCGGGAATAGCATCAACGTCTCTGCTGCCGTCTCTGACAGGAAACGAAGCTGGAAGTAGACAATAAAAATTGCAACAGACCAGTAACGCAAGTCAGTAGAGTTGACGGTCACGGATTCATCACCATCCGAAATGATCTCTTTGTTTTGGAAGTAGTCATCGTCATCGCCGAATTCTTCCCACGAGGTCACCTCGGCGGTATCGACGATGTCTTCGGCGTCGAGAATATTACCGGTATCGTCCGCCGCTAAAACACCAAAGACGTTGTGGTCCGTCGTGTTTATAACATCACCTGAGATGACAACACTTTCGCCTTCATCATCGCCCATTTTAACATCAGAAACGTTCTCGAAAACGGGTCCTATAGCATTATACTTTTAAGCAACGGCCAAGGCTATTACTATTTTATTTTGCAGTACCTTGAACAGGAACCAAATGAAAGGCCCCCCGCTTGCGAACATGAGCACTTGATTGGTTGCGTGTCTGTTCCTTGTGGCGCAATTGTTTGGTGCAATGAACGCAGGGACGATCGACGTGGTTCATGTTGAATGCGATAATGTCAATATTGCGGAGATTTCAAACCAGCTTCGGAAATCGTGTAAAACGAAAAAACAGAGAGAATCCAAGGCGACAAATAAAAGATACCAAAAAATAACTTTTATTTTCTTAATTGCTTTGAAAAAGCAGTGGCTATGAAAAAATTTATGTGTGACATGGAGAAAGTCAGTGATTAGGTGCAGTGAATGAATCTCAGAGACATCCATAATTTTTTGTGTAACCATTGTTTTGAATGATGGTGGTATCGACCTAATTAAAGGGTAACATCGGTTGCTAGACCGTTTTATTGAACAAAGCAACATTTGCACCATCTCTCCTCCCATCTCACCAGTCCGACAAGCCTGTGTGCACTTAGCAAAAGTAAGGTGGAGACGTTGAGTCATTTGCCATTGGTTGCCCTCTTTTTTTTTTCTTTGTTGTTGCGCCAACCGTTGGGGGGGTGTTTATAACGTCCTGTTAGCCTAATTTACAACACCCCAGTACCCCAGCATCCCACTTCCTCCATTTTCCGAAGATTGATTTTACCCTCCTATGTTTCCCTCAGCCCTCATATCTCCAACCTTTAACAACACTACATATCTACATTCGTTAGGTAGAAATTGAGGCTTCGAATTCTCGAAATCGATTACATACTGCTTCTCAGGTCACACAATCGAACCGTTGCAAAATGTCGAAGCAGATTCCGAACGTTGGAATTTTTTTTCACGCAGCAATGCATGAGACTTATTCCTTTGACAGCAACATTAAGATATATAGTGTATACTTATTATTGAATCAATAGAAGAAAGAAGTAAAATAATAACCATCTCCAACAGTCAGTTTTGGAAGACCAGTCGATCAGTAACTTCTTATCACGTCAAATCTACGAATATTGGTGGCTCTTAATAGTTGTACAGCCAGTATTTTCGTTAACTACTGCCAACTTGCATATCGGAATGATTAAATGAAGTATTACTAGCATAAAGGATCGTGTCAAAATGAATCGTCTGACAGCTGATTTTCTTTTTGCATTGTTATTGCACAGAACACGCCGGTGTCCCGCACTCATTTTGTATATCCGCGTCAAGGGCCATTGTATGATTGGATGGATTTAAGCTCGACGGAACAGTTTCATCCGGATTATTGAGTCTCCCACAAAAAAAAGACAAAAAAATTACGCCTCTCTCTTTTAGTGGACCAAAAACGTCGTAACCAACAACAGAATGTCAAAGGTGTATACCCTTTCCGAAGTAGCAAAGCATGCTACGTGTGACTCTTGCTGGGTCATTTATAACGACAAAGTCTACGATGTCACGGAGTTTATGGCCGATCATCCTGGTGGAGATGATTTGATCTTGGATTATGCTGGCAAGGATGTCACTGCGGTGATGAAAGATGTGCTTGAACACGATCATTCCGAAGCCGCCTATGAAATTTTGGAGGATTATTGCATCGGTAGCATTGACAAGCTGAAAGCCGACAAAGAAATGGGCGCCTCTTTGCTTCATCGGCGTCGAATGCAATTGCTAGAGGAAGAAGAAGAAAGTAAGACGTATCATCAACAGGACTTTCATCCCTCCGAAACCGATGTCACCATGGACATTAAGCGCAACCAGTTCTTGGATCTGCGAAAAGCTTTGGTGCCACAAATGTTTCGAGCCAGATTTACCAAGGAATTCTATCTGGAGCAGGTCCACAAGCCACGCTATCTGTCCAAGCCTGCCATTTTCTTTGGTCATCCTTTGCTCGAACCGCTGAGTAAAACAGCATGGTATATGGTCCCTATTATCTGGTTACCGTACACTGGCTATCATTTGTGGAAATCGTTGGCCTTTTCAATGCCTGTCGCGACCGGCATGTCTTTCGCCCTTGGTGTGCTTATCTGGACCTTACTCGAATACGTCCTGCATCGCTTCCTGTTCCACTTGGATGACCTTCTACCTGATCACCAGATCGCTTTCTTATTGCATTTTACATTGCACGGCTTCCATCATTATTTGCCCATGGATAGGTAAATACTCTATATCGACGGCATGTTGACCATTTATTCAGTGGTTATTTACCTGATAACTGTTTATGATAGACTTCGTTTGGTTATGCCGCCAGCCTTGGCTTGCGTACTTGCTTACCCATTAGTGAGTCTCGGTCATTTTCTCTTTCCTCCTATGGTCGCCCACGGTGTCATTGCCGGTGGCTTCTTCGGTTATATCTTGTATGATATGACCCATTATTACCTCCATCATGCTAAAGTAATCAGTTTGCATTTCCGGGAGATGAAGAAATACCATATGGCCCATCATTACAAGAACTACGAAGATGGTTACGGTATCACCTCCAAGATTTGGGATTATTGCTTCGGCACAGTCCTCCGATACACGGCTTAGAATAACATGATCTGCATTAGTATTTGTCTCTTTTGTTTTTTTAATTACCTTATCTACTCCTATAATCTTCTTTTATTTTTTACTGTTCTCATTAAAAGCATGATGTATATCTATATGTAAAATGCTACTATATTCGATCTTTTACTGCACAAGGTCTACATGGTATCAACAGCTCGACCGTACCAACACAACCAACCTTTGGTAAAATAGTCCCACGCCTTTGTTAATTTGTCGTCTGACACGGGCATCCCCACAATGCGTCAATGTATTGTTGGTAATTTTGCAGACTGATATATGGTTTCAACGTCGACTTCCCCTTACAGTTAGACTTTTGATGATCGGTGAAAGGCCGAGATACGTTGTATTTTGATACCGGACCATTCCTTAATGATTAGGGTTACCCATGGGCCGAGTCCGGAAATTGCTCTTTAAAGTGGTAAGACACATTTTTCTGGTGACACAGAGGATCCAGGCCACTCATGGATTGAACAATGCCTGAAATAGGCAAATGACATTGAGGCGTCGAGTTTATTCAATCTCCCTTTGACAACGTCCGTTGGTTATTTGGCTCTTCTCATTTTGTCGGTTTGTTTTTGTTCTTTTAGCCATCCATGGAATCCACACTTCAGGTTCCAAATCTGAGGGCGAGCGCTTCACTGTCTTTGAGGAAAACGTCATCTTCCAGCGATTTTGTGTCATTACCACGATCACGAACGTCTTCTTTTGTCGGCTCTTATTATGCAGACTCGGTTCGTCGTCAGCGCTCAGACACCTTTATCCACGTTCAACAGGAAACTCGACGGAAAAGTCAAACCCCATCCCACCATCATAACAAGGTGCTTCCCCCATCTCAACTTTACTTGACCCATTCCCCTCAGTTGCTACCGTCGAAAGTGGATTCGGATTCTGAAACGGACGACGACGAGGACGAAGACAAATTCGTTCTGAATACCGATACCGATTACTCTACTGAAACAGGCGCTCTACTAGAGGGCGTGCTTATTCGACGAGCTGTAAGACCTTCTATCCAACGGCTACACGAGGAACAGGAGCGACTTTCAGCAAAGCGCACGTTGCTAAAGGATTCGAAGGATTCCGATGCACCGCCCGTTCGCTCGGAGGATCTCAGTAAACATGAATCTGACGAAAAGGATCCTGTCGTTCCTATTGGAGCTACTGTAAAAGAGAAGCTCGAGCGGAACAGGGGTAGTTATTGTCCCTGTGTACAACCTTATCATATTGGCAAAGACGACCACCAGGCTACCAAATCTCTTCCGAAATTCCATTTTCCCAAATCGTTTGGACATCGACAACACCATGTTAGCAAAACCGGTCTTTACGACGATGGATCCAGCACTGTCTACCCGCCTCCACCAAACAAGGACGACAAAATGGAAATGTATGCTGTTCGCTGATCTTTTGAGTCGGTATGAACATGATCTTGTGTTTGGCTGACCAATGTGCATTGTTAGCGATCGCTATGGGTTCAAAAAATCATCTCAGTGGCTCACGGCGCATGATCACCGAGAATTTGAAAAGCGTTATAATGTGATTTTGGAACGTCGATGGACAAAGTGGTTACAGTTACTGGAAGATAATGATTGGAAGTTGCCAGACAGACAATCAAAAGGTAAGCGCACAGAACAACCAGATCGCTTACTACGAGAACTCAAACGCTTTTCTTACTGCTTTGAGTAAGGAGATATATACGGAAAGGTGTTCCAGCTCAGCTCCGCGGACGTGTAAGTTTTGAAAGCAGAGAATGTCATCGATGTTGCTTGCAGTCAGGGTCTCACCCCTGATACGAAAAAAAAAAAAAAAATCCAGGTCTGGTTACATTACAGCGGTGCTCAAGCAAAGATGGATGCGAATCCTGGGGTCTATGACAAATTTGTGACGAAAGCAGGTGAAATGGGGGAAAAGAATGAATTTGCTGATATCATTGAACGCGATCTTCATCGAACGTTCCCAGAAAATGTAAACTTTGAAGCACAGATCGACACTGGAATTGAATTTGCCAATGTCGACCACGTGCCAGCGATCTCCGCTTTACGTCGTGTACTGGCGGCGTTTTCTATCTATTGCCCTTCGGTGGGCTATTGTCAATCTCTGAATTATATCGTAGGCATGTTACTTATTTTCATGAAAGAAGAAGAAGCTTTCTGGACTCTGGTGACTATTGTTCAAAACATATTACCAGCTGGGGTTTATGATATCACCATGGAAGGTTCCAATCTCGATCAGACCGTGCTAATGATGCTGTTATGGGAACGAATGCCCCACATATGGAACAAACTGTCCGACAAAAGCTTTTGGGAATCCGAAGCCGATGGTGTATCCATGCCCACCATTACCCTCGTTACAAGTCATTGGTTTTTGACTCTATTCATCAATATCTTGCCTACAGAGGTAAACAATAAAAGAAAATGCATATGACTATTCACGCCTTTCTTTACAAGTCATGTCTGACTTGGTTTTCTTTTCTAGTCAGTGCTTCGTGTGTGGGATTGTTTATTCTTGTAAGTCTCTTCTAAAAGAACCGTGGTTACTCGGTGGGGCGATATCTCATGCTTAATGGTAGTGAGGGTGCGAATGTACTGTTTCGTGTCGCTTTGGCGATTTTCAAAATGTCTGAGAACGTTGTCTTGGCACTAGACGACCCTTTGGAGATTTTTCAGGTCATACAGGTAAATCACTCACAATCATTTCGCATCCAGCAAAGCTGGATCGTTGATTATCTCGTTATTGTAGAATGTCCCCAAAAGAATGATCAATTGCCAACTCGTCATGGAGGTAGACATTTGTGTGACGCGCCAACGAGTGTTTTTCACCAGGAAAATTTACCATTTGTGCTGTACTTAGAATACCTTTCGTCGGTACAGCTCATTAACAGATATAAGCAATGAAGATCTGGAAAGACGACGTGAGCTTTGCCGGGAACGACGACGACACCGACGTATGCAGAATACACCCACAGCGATGCCGCCTGCGGTGCCGGAAACCAGTAAAAGCCAGTCATGGAAACGCAAAACCACTGGCACCAAAGTTCGAATGGTAGCAGGCTTCAAATTACACCATAAGCACGATATATAATAGACCAACGATACCATTCTACATTAGCATTAGCATACACTAATTTTCAACTGCTCAAACGACCTCCAAGAGAGACATGCATTTCGATCATCAAAAATATTTGTCATTCATAAAATCATCAGCCCTTCGTTTTTAAAAATCCTCATGCATCTACAGCGCGCCGTTGAGTCACGTATCCCGTATAATCGGGATGCTCTGGCCCGTCAATGTGCGATGAATGGATGAAACATAAAAAGTAAAGAAAACCGAAGTATCAATGAGCGCTCGGTATTCGCTGTCAAAATTTTTTTTATGCGAATGATAAATGATGTAATAACTGGGGGTGATGGAGGTAATGGTCCAAGTGCTCATTGTACTTTAGTTTCTCTCGGTCATCAAGCTGGGTGAGATGAAACGATGGATTGTTACTGTATTGGATTGAGTTAGATCGTATCATAAAAGAGGTCAATGTCGGCTATTGGCTCGTACCTGTTGAGTTTTTTGGTCAAGTCTTGGAGATCTAGGTCAAGCTTGTCGGCGATAAAGTTTCCGATATAGGTGTTTTCGAGATTTCCATGCAACGCTTCAGAACCTCGACCGTATGCATACAGATTAACATCGACGGCACTGTGACCATGCGTTGCCCACTAAGAAGTAGTCATTTTCTTAGTACAGATATTTTACAGTGGGAAGTCCGATGCCATACCCCTAACTGAGCTCGGACAGACACCATATCTGCGAGGTATTGATCTAGAGATTTGGTGGACTTTTGTTTCATTAGAGTTTGCATTTCCTGTTCGGTAAAGTCATCAATGCCAAGTTCAGTGCGAAGGATCGATTGCAAATATTGACGGTCGTCCAACTTTCGTTCACGCATGATCTGTTCAGCCAGAGCGATCGAAGACTGCTTGACGCGGGTGAGTACATCCGGATACCAGAGATACTTTGGATATTTCGGTGAAACTTGTCTAGCCAATGATAGTCCACCCGTTTCGTGATCGCTGGTAGAAATCAGCATTGTATCCGGGTGCTCATCGACAAACTGTTTTACGAGTTGAATCACGTTTTGATATTCGAGAATATCGTGTAAATGAGTGGCAGCATCGTTTCTAGTTGATGTAATTTAGCAACCAAATATTGAAGATGTACTAAACAAGAATTAGGAGCTTACGAGTGTGCAGCCATATCTATTCGACTGCCTTCGATCATCAAAAAAAATCCAGTATCCGATCCTTTGGTGGCATCTGATAATATTTTCAGCGCTTTATCTGACATTTCTGTCAAGCTTGGTTCCTCTTCTGATTTGCGATCTATTTCATATGACATGTGCTGCATGCAAACCAATGCGGATGAGCTTTTCTCGAAATAGAATACAGCGCGACAATATTGATATATGTATACCTCTGAACTGAAGAGAGCCATGGTTGGTAATATATCACCCGAAGTGGGCAACTGATCGAATGCTGTACGGTTAGAGTGCAATACTGTTTTCCAGCCGTACTTTTGTTGCGCTTCAGTCAGCAAGTCACGCCCGTCGCTCCGACAACCTTGCCTGTTTTTAGGTAAAAACTGGCACACGCCACCTCCGAACATGAGATCCACACTGCGTCCTAACGGGTTTTCTCCAAGCTGTTGTAGTGCGATGGCGTTTTCGTCATCACGATCTTTCACATGTGCCGAAAACGAGGCGGGTGTAGCGTGAGTAATACGTGATGTTGCTACTAGTCCGGTTTTCATATTATGGCGATGTTTCGCTGACTCTAACAAGGTGCCACAAGGCTGTCCCTGCGGATCCACTATAGTTTTTACGATTGATCGTCGTTACACAGGTCTATTAATTTTAGCTTGGTGTACTAACCTCCCACGGCTCCATTGTATGTTTTGATACCACAACTATATGCGGTAGCTCCAGCAGCGCTATCTGTTACTAGCGTACTGCTACTGCGTGTACGAGATTGGCCAACGTGAATAGTGTCCAGTGGTAAAGGGTGATCGTATGTGAGATTGTTGACGTATTGATAGTATGTCCTGGCAAAAGAGACCGATGCAGGTCCTAATCCATCGCTGATCATCATAATAATATTACGTGGCCTGTAGATGTTGCGCTTGCGTTCTTTCCACGCTAACATGAAATATAAACATAAAAGTTGCATAAGGGTGCCATAGTCAGTTAACAATTCTGGTTGCTTTAATTTCATTTTGTTTCATGATCGTCATCCTACCACTCATATTCATGGGTGTGGCCATGGCAGCGACAGTAATACTTATGAGCACCACTGCGCATATAACACTTGCTAATACAAGCCGGTTGTAAATGCATGCGTTTATCTTTTGAACGTCTTATAAGTGAATCTTTGCAGTTATAGAAAAGCAGTATAGGAGATCGCTTACGATATTCCTTGGTCTTTGTTGTGGAGGCAAACCGATGGATTCTTCCTCATTGTCATCATATTGTGTCTCTTCATGTATATCTTTCAGAAGTGGTTCGCTCATATGGAATACAGGTACCACAAAAAAAAAAGATGAGAAGTGAGAAAAGATAGAAAAAAGAAGCAAGGACTTGGCAAAAAAGCACCTCCCCAAATTTTTGGCTTTTATTGGGCCAATCAGGGTTCAGTGAATGCCCAATCTATTTACATGCATCGGAGGCTTCGCACATGCGTCGAAAGGATCGATTAACAACACAAACTGCCAGTTAAGGAAAGATTGTTGACTAAAGCCAATCAATAAGCCTCTTTTAAAGAAAAGATGTTTTTCTCATATTTGATTAGTTGTGTCGACAAATTCACTGAAACTGGTGGTACTACGGTTGTTTGTTGTCATATCAGTTTTAAAGAATGACCATGTAAAAGATGACAGATATCAGTCGACTGACAACCTTCCTTATTCAAATTTTCTTGTATAAATCAGGATATGATCATTCATCTGGAAGATTATATAAGAAATAGTAAAGTCACTGGCAGGCTATCGGACAGGTTATTGCTTCGAGTTCGAATCGCTATAGTCTCTGCAAGTTAAGGACCGATCATTAGTAGAACACGAAAATTTGATGTTATTGTATGAATCATTACATTCCTTTTCTATTGTCATAATTGTCATAAAATAAAATACAGAAGAAGCAAGTGAGGAAATAAGCAGTTTGATAAAATAAAAAATAAAAACAATGTGTGAATAGAAAAGCAGAGTCGGCTATTGACCAATAATTAATGTCATGCATGTGATAAAACCCCTTAACGTGTGCCGCGCCAAAGTAAGAAAGGAAGCAGTAATGGAAGACATCCGCGAGCGGGAGAAGGCTTGTGATGGGCGCAAAATAGTGAGCCATTCAAACTTTTGTGTCGATATTCTTTTTTTTTTCAAAAAATCCTTACCTTCTCATCGCCATCGGCCACTTTTCGTCTAGGTCCGAAACAACAAGTAACACAGTACCAGAAAGACGATATCAGCAATCCTCCCATTGCACCGACGGTCATCCACATTGCCGGTCCAGGAAACCCAGAAGCACTTCGATCTGACCCCTTGGCGGAATTAATTCCTCGAATAGAGATAACAAGCACTATAATAAGCACCACCAGCATTACAAGGAAAGCGATAAACATGGCAAAAGATGCGAGTAAATCCGAGGTTCGTCGAAAATGGGTCGTTATTGTAATGGCCAAAGCCAGTAACGTAAGTCCAAACACCACCCAGTAAAGAATAAAATTGGTGAGAAATACTTTATCCATGCCTTCCAGGCCCTGGATTAATCGATCAAGTCCTTCAGCTTCCGCTAGAGTCCAGCAAAAAAATAACAGCATTAATTTGGCACATTTCCGACAAGCAGCTGAGACCCAAACGGAAGTTGTACTTACTCCAAACAAATGCAGGCTTTGGTGTGCTACAATGTGTAACTGCACCATCCTTTCCTATGCAGTAATTCCTAAAATTGAACAAGGCAAAACAATGTAAGGATCCTGTGGTTTATATGCTTGCAGTAAAATAAACTGCACTTGCCATAACCCGAATTGAATGAATCGATCAGACAACGTTAAGCGTGCAAAATACAGGTCCCGCAGCAAAACGACATTATAAGTATTTCCAAGCAACGTGAATACTTCCAAGGCCAAAGCTGCAAAAGTGAAGAATGTAGCAATGTACGCAAAAACAGCCATGGTTAAATCGTTGAAAGATAACGAGAGAAGATTGTTCGATCTAGGTTAACGTAACCCGGTCTATATATATAAGCGACTTTGATTTCCGTTCCATGACTTGGGTCGTAACAGTCGAGTCACCATAACAAGCGTTAACCCAAAATAGCAGTAAAGAAACAATAGGCGGCTTTTGTCTTTTTGTATGATTCCACGCAATCCGTCAATCAAACCGCTCCCATTTCTAACTTTAATCATGAAAACTGTAAATCTGCAACAAAAAGAGCGCCCTTAATTAAGAAAGTCACATTGCCTCTTTGGGATTTTCTAATCGAAAAATAGCATGTTGTTGGGTCTTTATTGCCTGTTTGGGGTCATTGACACACACTGTAAAAATAGTCTGTGACATTGCCTTTTTTGGGACCATTGCCACATACTGTTTCGTAAAAAAGCAATCTACCCCAAAAAGGGACGTTGCCACACACTGTCCGACAGTATATAAAAGAGAAAGACTGTTATAATTTTCAATTTAGTTATATCCTGCCACGACAAAAAATTATTAATAGTATGCCTTGCCGTTCCTGTGAAAGTACTATCGGTCCAGCCACCTTGATTATCCGCTCAATAATTATTTATACAAAACCGGCACGTCCTAAAACTTCGGGTTTGAAAGAAGAGCCTTCATCAACAGACGCTGTCAATGCTGCTGCACGGACCCTTACAGATTTACGAGCTCACTTTGAAAGGAAAAGTAGCTTTTTATGCTTTTTGTTTACCAAAGAATCGACAAATGATCGACAGAATCTTTTGTGACTCAACAAAAAAAAACGGAATTTTTCTCATTCAATTTTTCTTCGAACATTTTGGGTCTTCGGCTATCAAAACTTGAATATGGTTGGATGTTGACGTATGAAGAATCGATAGGGGAGAGCTTTTCAAAAAGCTATGAACATCTTTTTTTGTATGATACTCGAACAGAACTATCAGATCAGTGACTCATATATCATAAAAGCAAAACGGGCGAACCTGGCCTTACAAAAAAAAACCATGTGTTTGTCGTTGAACGGATGTAGTCCACATGTGAAATGGCAGCTGCATAGAATCAATAAAGGACGACCTATGCAAAGATCTGATGTAATATATGCCTACACATTCATAATTTTATAGTCACTTGTCATCCGTAATCACTCCAATTTTAAAGTTTAATAGAGCGTTACTGTGTCTGCATTGTAAATAGTAAAGCACCGACTGATAAAACATATGTCCGCCATTGAAAGATGAGGCACTGATTGATAAATCATACTATATGTCTGTTTGTGAATAGCGAAGTGCCGACTGATAATTCATATAACTGTTTGTGAATAATGAAGCGTCGACTGATAAATCATATACCTGATTATAAAATGACTTTATATTTTCAATGTGTAGGCATACAGTACACTTCAACCCTTCAACCCACAAACCGACCGATAATCCCGCTAAAGACAAAAGGACTCGAAATTGCGGCCAGTCCGCGGCTCCTCTTTGTCCGAAGCCACCGTATGTATTGTTCTTGCTGAGGATAGTTCCCTCTTCTTCGAAGGGACGACCTTACCCCTCTTTTTAAAAACCTCAGCCATGTATTATATGCTGAGAAAAATTTTCACCACCCCGCACATCCGGTAATACAGTCTGTTCTGATATTTTGAGCATGCTGCTGATAATGAGCGATTTTTAGGTTTAGGAGCTGCAGAGGCTTCTCCCGATGGGGGAGACGGACCTGTTGCTTGCTAGTGATAGCGTAAGTATGACAGAAACTTTCACTCAGAAATAAAAACTGACAAGCATCTGTAGGTTTGGTAAGTGATGATGGCGGATCCTTATTCAAATGCCATATTCATCAAGACGACACTGTTTACATGTGCTTACGCTTCTTTCTAGTCTACCAAAAATAAACAACCCAAGCATTCGGACTTTCTTTGCCTCTGTTAAAGCGTACACTTCGATTTGCTGACCGACATCCATGTTCGACGTTACCAGACCAGGATTCAACGGTTCAGGCCGATGATGCCCCATCATATAATCTCATGATCTTATCAAGAGAGAGGGCTAAGGACATGCCGCAACCGCTGTCAAGTATTAGCTGATAGATTAACACAAGAATAAGTGAAATACATGACCAAAAGAAGGCGACAGGGTGGAGTTTGTTGTATTTTTTTTTCGGTTCGAGCATTGACAATTGCTTCGCTCATCTTTATACTTTGCTGGAATGGGGACTATTTCTGGATACTGACGCGCACAAGGACATATCGTTGAGTGGTATCGCTGGGATAGAGATAATGAGACAGATCTTTTGGCTGGTAACAGTACGTTGTTGCATAAATGGTACTCGTCATCAAGAATATTCCATCAAGTGATCAAGCTGTATCCCTTTGAAATAAAGTAAAAGCTGGCGTCAAACTTTAGCTATTAATCTTCCATTATCTGACTCATTTTTTCCTACAAAAGCTGGGTCGAATTAAAGCTGTAAAAGTGTCTTATGCTTTACAAAGATAACCCATTATAAGGATTTGTAAAGAACCCGAGGAACGGATTCTGCGTAACCACTGACGATTCATCCTTTGTCTTTGCCGCAGTAATTTGCGTCTGTTCTAACTTGACCATTAGCGCCAAATTTATTAGATATAGTTTATTTATTTGATAGCACTGGGATTCGTTTGGGTGTTGAAGTTCAGCAGTGGCAAGTCAAGTTTGTGCCAAATGCGTTTGGGGTTTTTGTATTCCGCCCAACTGCATCAACTCACGTGACCATTACGTCGGAGCCAGTCACTCAGGTCAACTGCTGTTGACGCGTTGCAGCTTTCCGACCACTTTCTTATTACGAATAACACTCCTCTCATGTCATCCATCGCATCTCAACAGCAGCAGCAGCAGCAGCAGCAGCAGCAGCAACATCAACAGCAAAATCCTCAATCCAAGAACTTACCCCAGTTAGGGCTTCTGGAGGAAGACGATGAATTTGAAGAATTTGCCGCTGAAGGTAACCTTTTCCTGAATCCACTTACTTGCGATAATTTTGCTGATCGTATGCTTTATTTGCTTTTTCTTGTAGATTGGGCCGACGCCGACGAGGATAAAGAAGATGCCCACTTTTGGGAAGATAACTGGGACGACGACGATGTTGAAGACGACTTTTCAAAACAGTTACGGTAAGGCGACATTTGTTTAATCTACGTTCTTCATAGTCTCCTGTACTTATCGCAAAGTTCAGAGCTGAATTAGAAAAGACATCCTCGGCCATGAAAATGTAAAAAACCGTTACCCATTGTACTTCTTTTCTCTGTTTGTTAATTCAAGACTTATCGCAATCATAAAAACGACGATCATTCAATTCTTTACGTCAAATGGCTGTCTCGAGCTTTCTGGTATTGTTTTTGGCGGAGAAACTCTCGACTGTATAGTAAAAAAGCAATGATTCAAAGGCAGCAATTGAATGAGACGAGTAAATCAACGATGAACAGAAAAGAAGGTTGGCAGCCTAGTCGAACGCAAGTGACTGAGAAAGTGATCGAATGGTTATCAACAGCGACCTTTTTACTCGATTGTCATGTTCTGTGGGGGGAATATTTACGGGAAAGCTATGCTTGTAATCTGAACCAATGTCTATCTTTTTGTGATTTTCTGAAAAGACAGACCGTGTGACTCTTTGATCCTGGTGACCGATGTTGAAACTCCATCTGTTTGAAGGCTTCTCACTCAACAATCAGTGTGCTAGCGTTCTCAAGATATACTCTTATGTGAGAAATCAATTAGTATGTCACTGAGGCCGAATTGTAGGTTATATTGAAAGCTGGGGAACATGGTTTGACTTAATCAGCTTGGAAAAAAAAAAAAAAAAAAAGAACTGCAGAATCCCAAGAACATGAGATTTAGCTACAGTATGGGATTCCTTATAATCTACAGTTCCGGAAATTTGCGGTATGGATGAGAAGGAAGGAAAGGTGAAAGGTGGAGATGATAGAGCTTGAGATTGTACTGCTTGGAAGTATTATATGGAAGGGATGACCCCATATTTATCGCTTCAGTATTGCTCAATCGAAGAAACATCAACAAGCAATATCATTGGCTGCGGTGGAACGGTCTTCATCACATTATTTGCGAACCTGACAATTTCGGTCTTTTGTGTAACCGAGTCATGCAACTGGCGGAGAGGGCATGAGAAAATGCCCAATGTTGAGCACTCCCTTTTTAGGGGAGGAACACTGCCCCCCCTTTTTTTTTCTCGTTTCTTTATTCTCCCTCCCAATCGTGCTGCATTTTATTTTTTATTTTTTGATAACACCTATTTTTTTTTCTATTCCCGTAAAAAACCTATCCTGGTTTTTATTCTTCTTTCTAAAATAAGCAATGCAGTCATCCAACTATTACCCACAGCCGCCGCCAGCTGTACTTTTAGCCCAGCAGCAGCAGCTTCAACAACCGTTACAGATAAGATACACTTCCTCTGGAAGCAATAACAGCGGGAGGTCACCTGAAATGATCATGGATAATCCCACCGAAAACGATATTGAGGATGACTCGGATGAGACTGACAAGAAACCCGGTAAAAGAACGGGACGTCGCAAGATCAAGATTGAATTTATCGAAGACAAAACTCGCAGACACATTACCTTTTCAAAAAGAAAAGCGGGTATTATGAAAAAGGTAATTGCACAAGATGGTTCCTGGTCAAAGTGAGGTTTGAAGTCAATGACTAATGTCGGTGTGGAATTGGCTGTAGGCGTATGAGCTGAGTACGTTAACAGGCACTCAAGTGCTGTTACTCGTTGTCTCGGAAACGGGTTTGGTCTATACGTTTACAACACCTAAGCTGCAACCATTGGTTACTAAACCGGAGGGCAAAAATCTTATTCAAAGTTGTTTGAACGCGCCCGACAGTCAGGAAGCCTCGGCCGAGGTAGGATAAACTCTTTTTCGCTTCTCGTCTTATCCCTCCTACCCTATGCTCGTGTCTTCTTCTTTTTCTTTATATGTGTGTGTGTATCTGTACGAAAATTTTGCACCTTTGTTGCTGTTGTTGACTTGCGTTGTTTTACTTGCAGAATCCCAACGAACATTATACCGATCAATCACGCTCGAGGAGGAAAATGCACTAAGTAGTAAAAAGCTACCTTTATCATTCTCGTCTTTGGTCCCCTCTTTTATGTTTATGTAATAACCCACGCAAAAAAAAATATCTCATACCTCTGACTGAAAAAGAAAGGAAAAAAAAATATGTATAAAATGGCTAAAAGTGGAGACAGCGTTGCCACAGGTGAAAAAAGAATTCTGATATTTCAGTACTTTCGTCTCTATGTGTTTGGTTGCTTTAAATCTCATTATCATTTGTACCTTCCCTAGCACGCATACTATATAACATGATCTAGTATGACAGACTGTGAGGCTGAAATAAAAGTAATTTTTGATAACCTTAGCTTCATGAGTGAAGGGAGACAGAAAATCCTGTAACTTAGAAATAATGAATGACGCGTTGATTTTCTCTTTTATGACAAACAGCCTGCCGTTTCCACCTAAAACAATCATGGTGTCGATTTAACGGTGCATTTACACGGATGTTGCAGTTTTACAATAATTATGGATAATGAATCCCGAACCAATGAACTATACGTTCGCCTCGTACAAAAGCCATCCACCGGATTCATCCTATCGTGAAATACGACACATAACAAAAGCTAACCTTGCAACAGAAAGATAGGAATACATGTGTAATATAAATTACTTTCCAGCTATTTACGACGGTGAAGTCATATTTCCTTGAGTGCATGATGTAGTATGCAGTTGCTCTTAGTCTTCTTTCGTTTCTTTCGGTGAAATGCCATTCGATATGCGGGGTATCAAGTTGGATAAGGGTACAATATCCTCATCGTCAGATTGTGCTTCAGCGGGATCTTGTGAAGACCCCTCCCACTGTGACCATCGATTGGGTGTGTCAAACTGATCCCCGTATCGTCGATCGGTCATCATGAGTCGTTGCATGCTTCCTTCCTCATCAGTAAGAGAGTATTCTTCTTCGCTGTCGGTCATAAAACTGCCAGAATCATAATAATCCTCCGAGTCTATTGCATTGTCAGGCACGTTGACTGAAAGCTCCTTGAGCTGATGTTCTTCAGCCTGAAGGTCATGTTCAAAGTCATCCCGTAGACGTGCTTGATATTGGCGTTTATACTTTGAAGAAAAGATGGACGGGCGAAGATCATCAGGATCGCGAGGTGGCCAGAAGTAAGGCAATCTTGGATCTACCTCACATAGGTTAAAACTCACGCTTGCCAGAGGCGTATGACCATACTACATCCTTACCGACGCACGGACGAATAGGAAAAGATAAACCATCACCAGGCATGGGTCGTGGCCACAGCCACAACATTGGATTGTTGCCTAGCACGGCGCACAAGTTTTTGTAAATGCTAATATCGAAAGGATATTCGACCTAGAAACACACGGCATCAAAAGAACGGTTCTAAAAGATTCTCATTAAGCCTAAACTCACTGGTGGTATTTTGCCTCGTCGGATCAGCTTCTCTACTTTGCTTCGCTCCCAACTTTCAATGGTGGATTGGTTCCTTGCCATGCAATAGAGATGATACATCGATAGAATGCCCACACAGAAAAGTACGACAAACGCTAGTACAAAATTCACTACCATGAAGGCCACTTCCAATGTACTCGGTTCGGCGTCAAACTATCACACTTGTCAGTCAGTAAGTAATTATTGTAACAATAGAAGCCCAACAACGGCGTACCTGAAAATGTCGAATGGCATCCATAATGCTGCGTACTCTCCATATCAAAAGTACAACCACATAAAAGCAAGCGAAATTCACATAAAATACAAATCGCATAAAGTGACCATAATTCGCATAACCAACGCAATTATTTATCCACGGGCAATGATGATCCATTTTCAGGACGCAACGGCGACAGTACCGGCAATGGTGGGCTCTTGGCGGTTTGTGAATATTACAGCTCTTGCAGAAACGGGGACCTGTAATTCCCTCCGAGGGATTGGTCTTGGTTGTAATCAATAGAGATGATGGTGGTTCCTAAGATGCTAGCCTTAATGATTACGCATACAAAACATAGTTGTGCATAGAATATACCCAATCTGCCGGAATTCTCCCGGGATCCGTAGTTACTGCCAAATAGTAGTTGTAGTATACCATCAGAACGAGCAGATTCAAAGGGGTTAGAACTTTGACCGTTGCTAAAGACCATCCTCCGAGAGCAGGTGCGAAAACAAAGAATTGGGAAGAATAAGCTATTGTCGTAATGAGAAGACAAACGCCGACGACAAAGACTCGCCCTGGAATCGCTTCGAGCATGGAAGTTCTCACTGACTGAAAATAACTTGCTGTGGTTTTCTTTTTTTTATATAATTTTTAACGGGAATACAATAGAAAGAGATACTTTTTTCTTCCTTAACCACACTTCTGGAGAATAAAGAAAAATTACGCTTCCCTTTTCACACACTTTTTTTTTTTTTTGGTCCCTTGGCTCTTTTTTGGTCCTCCGCTTTTCACTTTCAAGCCCGTCTGATCTTTTTCTATTGTCGCTTTTGTGCTGCTTGTTATCTGTTTCCTTGCTTTTGCTTTTGCATGTCCGAATTAAAGAGTAGAAAGCCTGCTAGTATGTATTTTTGCTGTAACTACTGGGTGCAACTGTCTAATGAACATCTGTATTGGGATTGCCATCTAATAGATACTGCGTTTAAGCAGCAGCGCCTTAAGGCTTGGCAACCGCTGCTTACTCCTAAAACGGTGCTACCTACCCTATTTGCGGCAGGCATCATATTTGCACCGTTAGGCGGTCTATTTCTATATGAGAGCGACACGGTAAGCATTCTCTCTACATCCTGCATTGAGGCCCATTGACTAATCCAATTCATGGCAAGGTGAACGAAATTATCATTGATTACACAGGATGCATCGATCACACAGGCACTACCCCAGCGACACTTGATGATAAGTTTTACAGCTATAAATTCACATCTGAAAACACAACAGGTTAATGTTTAGACTATCATCCCATTCCATGCCTGCTGCCAACTGATTTATGCTCCTGCCAAACTAGTTATTCGAGCACCAACCTATCAACTCACCAACTCCACAACGTATCTTAACAATCAGACATTACCCAATGGCGAAACCGTTCCACGATGCATCATTCAGTTTTCTATTCCCATGCCGATGAATGCCCCCATCTACCTCTATTACAAGCTTACCAATTTTTATCAAAATCACCGTAAATACGTCAAGAGTCTCAGCTACAATCAGTTGCATGGTGATATGATGACTCAAGTCGATGCGAACTCGTCTTGCTATCCTGTCGGCGTCGATCCGGCAGGCAAAATATTCTATCCTTGCGGTCTCATAGCAAACTCCATGTTCAATGGTACATATCTATTAACTTGTGGGGAAACAACTGATATATTCATCATCCATTCATTCATTTTTTGAAATGTTTTTTTTTCAGATTCTTTCACTGGTCTCAAGCTACTGAACCCTCGAGGTGGCGATGGCGATGATATTCCTTATGCTTTTAGCGAAAAGGGTATCGCTTGGCCATCGGATCGGTCGCGCTTTGGAAAGACTTCTTTACCGCTTGATCAAATTGTCCCGCCACCCAACTGGGTCAAACGGTATCCTAACGGTGTTTATTCCGCTGATAATATATTTAATCCACAAGAAGACGAACACTTTCAAGTGTGGATGAGAATCAGCTGGTTCCCCACTTTCAGAAAATTATACTCCAAATATGAAGGCGAAACCATGCAGGCTGGAACCTATGAGATTCAAGTAGACATGAGTAAGTTACATATTTTGACTTTTTTCTTTGGTGAAATTTTAGGCCATGCCGTGGCAATAGCAATTACTGATGGATTGATTGAATTCTTTAGATTACGATATCAGAGCCTATGGGGGTACAAAATCAATTGTTATTACCGGCACTTCATTCCTCGGTAATCGTAATCCATTTATGGGACTATCCTACATTATTATGGGTTGTATTTGTGCTCTTTTAGGAGTAGTGTTTCTGGGATGGCACTTTTTCAGACCAAGGTAAAATCAATCATTGATATGTATTCTACTCCAGAAACAAAACCTGATGATCAAGTTATTTGGATTAGAAAACTCGGTGATCATGATCGTTTATCCTGGAATCAATCTTCAGCAATCGGACGCTAGAAACGCCATTTTTGTCATTCATCTCTTTATATTCCTCCTGTATGGTTTAAATATATTCTTCATTTACTGTGCACCGCCTCATGCAAACACCTTGGCTAGTTTGGGAACGGAAGTGGTATCAACAGTTTGGATGCCGCGAGAATCAGCTTCACAAAGAAGTGGGCACACGTTAAGTTCCTGCCACGTTTCCCATAATTTGTATACGCTTTCTTTCGCCTTCTCGGATAAAACAATGCAGAAAATAGCATCGAAGCCGCCAGCTAGGGCAATTTTGTTTCCAAAAATGAGAAAACCAAAGCAGTAACAAGATAATATCATTTCAGAAGGCTTACCTCCGGGAACGCCTGCCATAACCACGCCTTCTAGCTTCATGCAAGCATCCAAAAGACGCGTCTGTTCGGCCGGCTCGATAGGTACGTCGGATAATGTACTCATGGTTTGCAATAGGCTACGCACACGGCCAAAGTCCTTTGCCAAATTGGCCAATTTTTGAACTACGGCATTGCTGCTTGCTTGGTCGTTCCACTATATAAAGTATTCACCGTTATCACGCGCATCCAAATAACGAAATTTATAGAGAAGGATACTAAGCTTTCTTGCTCTTACCTGTGATGCCTTTGTTTGAGCGCAAATTTCCAGAGCCTTTTCATAAGTGGCAGGGTCCTCGGCGTACGCTTTTTCCATATCTCTGAAATGCTCTTCGACCTTGTCATTGAAAAATCCGAGTTCATCCCACAAAGCGATGGCTATTGATCCCATTAGGAGCACTGCATCAATGCATCTCTACCTTGATACACACTCACCTTCGTCGGCTTTGGCCTTTCGCCATGCCAGCACTTTGCTTACCAATGTGGGTGTATGACTTCCTGCATCAATATCTGCCAGCATCAACTCTAAGCCGCAAGGTAGTGTAAAAGGCGCGACTAGATTATCCCACCTATATTTGAAATTGCATTTAGTGGATTCTCATTTCGTTTGTCTAGAAATATCCCATACTCTTTGTTGTGTGCGTCAAGTGCTTGCAACAGCGCTGAAGGATCGACATCGTCTTTCTATACAAGACCCGCTCAATTGCCATATCCACATCATCTCAGAAATTGATTTACCATGATTGGGGATAATATAGCTGGGTTAAATCGACGATAACGGTGACTCCCCCAAACTGCAGCAGACACATCGAATCCGCTACCCACTTTACCCTGAGCAAAACAATGGACGTATTGTGCAACGTTATGAATAAGAACTCGATCGTCTTCATAGTCCAGACTTTCCACGGCTTTAAAATGGGCGAACAGAGCCGCCACAAGCGACGTTGTCAATGCAGCCGAGCTGCCTAATCCCGTTTTATGCACTGTCGCCAGCGTGGCCTGGGTATGACAAAACGGAGGTAAGGAGGCCAGGGCTTCGGCGGTAGTGGGAAGCTGTTTCGCCTTTAACTGAGGTCTTTGAGAATAAAAATCGTTGTCTCCTACGATGCTGACATCGAGTCCGGTTTCCATCACCTTGTTGAAGATTTCCGATTCAATCCTTTGCTGAATAATCATAAGAGCAAAACGAAGGCAAGTTTCAACAAACTTGTTCTGGGACTCGGTTGGTCTGTGGCACGAATAAGTACCAGGAACGCTTCGTTGTTTGACCAGGATACTTACAACGACGCAAAGACAAGCTCCTCATCTACGGCTTGTGCGGAATAAGCCCAAGAAGCAGCATCAAATTGAGGCGAAGACACGCGAATGATGTGAGGGTCGCCTTTGGCGGCACGAATGCCGGTATAGAACCGAGCCGATGTGCCTACAACAAGGCCGGAAAAACATTGCTCGAGAACCAAGTAGCCGCCAGCCAGCAATACTTTTCCAGGAGCCGATGCAACGGTATATGCAGATGCCATAATAAGAAGAAAAAGAGTCAGGCCATTCAATTCCAGGAGACATCATCTTGAAGTATAAGATCCACAGTCACGATACTCCCTGTGTGCAGTGCACTTCACGCCGCCCATCGTCGGCTCCTGAAAATGAACATCAGGCTTTAGCAATGCTTGCCTCAACGAAGATTGAAACTACGTATGTAAACCGTAAAGTTTCTTTCTAAATTTGGGTGTCAACTTTGCAAACTAAGTGATAGGCTGATTGTCAACGAGGGTCAAAAAAGCGGGAATTCTAGATTAAGAAAGGGCAGCGCCGAAAAACGATCTATTCTTTCTTCTTTTTCTGTTCGCTCTCTGTCTTCGGGTTTTTTCCTTCCTTTTCAGCCATTTGACTGGATTGTAATTGCTTTATTTCATCTTAGGCAGGTGAGAACATTGATATCATATAATGATGCGTCCCTTATTACCCGATTTTATACGACGGCCTGTTGGATAAGCTATTTGGCGCGTTTCATGGGATCACTCCGCTTGTTCTTCACGGTGATGCAAATCGAGGTTTCCAAAGCAATAATTGTGCTTTGTGGATCTCGAGGTTGTTCTACTGAGCTCAACGGTCACCATTCCCTTGTCGCTGAAAAGGTATTTTTCAGGGATGCTCTATAGTTTCTGTCTGCCGCTAAGCAAAATTTGCGGTTTGCATGGCTGCTTTCTGTTTACCTCGTAGATCTTAATTTCACACTATGAATCTATTGATATAGGCTTAACTCAAATGAATCCACCATAGCCTGGGTGTGAAGGAACGAAATGGTCAACAAGTATTGCGTGCGGGCACATGTTCAGAAACAAATCATGTTGCATTGTGTCCAGTTGCCTCAAGATTCTCATCACCTAACTTAGTGCTATATGTGTGTTAGAATTTATTTAGCAAAAGTCGTCCAATGTAGAAGGTGGATCTCCAGTAACATGCGGCATCCAGAAATGATGTACGACTAGTTAAGCAGGCAAAAAATGGCGGACTATGACCTTCATGAAATAGTGAGGACAACAGTAGTGCGTATAGCATATTATTTTGTTTGCAAAAGATGGGGGAAATTTTTCTCGAACGTAATACAATGTCCTGCAGTAGTATAAATAAATTTGTGGTCTATTAGCTTATCAAAGATGGGTAAAAAAAAAAAGGGTTATACATTTTGGGAGATGGATTAATCGTCTTGCGGCCATAAACCTTGCGCTTTGAAATCGTCGATAATTCGGATGACATTCTCGCGCGTAATATACGGATACGAGTAAGTGAAGCCGATAGATTCGATCTTTGTTCCGTCCGCGTGCAGACTGTGATTTTGCAGAAACTCTTCATCGAGGTATGGTGACAGGGGTGAAGCGACAATTTTGGATTTTTCCAGCAGTTTAGCCCAAGGCGCCAGATGCTTTTCGTTGATATCATCCGTAATTGAACTCAAGTTCATCTGTAATACAATTCGATTTACCGACCAGTTTACCGCGTGAATGGTTTTGCATTAGTAAATTCTTGGACTATACCTTTGCAAAAGTACAAATCAAGGTATTGTAGTAGCCTGTCTGGATATTGTAAATGTCGCGTAGGAAGCCGTTGACAAATTCTTGATCTGATCGTCCAAAAGATAGGACTAAATGAGCAATTGCAACGTTACATATTTCAATCCGATGATCATATACCTGTATCTTGCTTGTCAACGAGGTTGAACGTGATGGCTTCTTTCGGCTCAACTTGATATTTTTTGTTTTTAATATACCAGCGGGCGGTGTACCAACAGGCTTTCACGACATCGTCGATGTGCACAGTGTTCATTTTCAGATCTCCCGACCATAACAGCTTCATTTCTTCGTTGAGGTATTTATAGATACGACCCATAATCAAACGAGGAGCTGACCGAACGCGAATGAGAAATCGGATGATTGCACAATTTCCGTAATGATGACTTACTTAATCCAAGATACGTGCCGGGACCGTAAACAAATGCAGATCGCAGAACAACCAAATTCAGGCTTCAAATGCAAGGTGAGCCGAGACGAATAAAATGACATATCCATGGAGATGATGGTTACCCTGGCATTGCTCTTAGTGCTTCTTCTACTTTGTATTTGTATTTGGCCATCGCTGTCCATGGTTTGATTTTAGCCATTTCATCCGACGGTTTCTATTCTCATGCAACCTTTTAGTGGCCTTTAGTCAGCATCACCACGAATACGATAAATTACCTCATTTTCGCCATACACTTCGCAAGAAGACATTTCGATAAAAGCTTTCACGTTACGTTTCACAGCTTCCTTGGCGCAATTAACGGACAGCATGTAAATGCGTTTCTCGTAGACCTAATCACCGTTATCATCCATTTCAATTTCCCGGGAGCAATATGGAGAGGTGTAGTTTTCCGTGATTTTACCTCGGGAGACTGCGAGTATTTAGGCTCACCAGCGAAATTGAACACGCAATCGAATTCTCGACCATCGTCTCTGTCAAAGCACGACGCAATAGCATCTGAATAACCCTCCGTCAGAGATATTGCCAGTATACCGCTAATTATATACCGCATTCTGCCGGTTGAAAAAAGTACCTGGATTGATCAGGTTGCTTTGTTTGAAATCCACTTTTTCGAACATAAGCTTATGTTCAGCCGATAAAAAGGCGGTTTGTGGGAGCATTTTATCGACCACTCGAACATCGTCAGCCAACTTTTTGTCGAGAATATATTGAACAAAGTGTCTACCAATGACACCCACACCTCCCAACACTAAAACGTTGCCAAGTGAGTCGTCCGCTGTCATGCTGTCAGAAAGGAGGGTGAAGAAACGCAGGTTTGTTTGGGTTTGGTTTTTTTGCAACGGAAGAAAGAAAAAAAAGATAACCAATACCCTTTCACCCACATTATAGGAGTTCCAACATCTTAAAGTTACGAGTCACGAACGTACGGATTATCGGCCTCATTGAAGAGGACATGTGCGTCGGTATGGAAACCATCGTCGGCTGTTGAATCTTAAATCTGCTGTTATCAACGTGGCAACCCGATCAAAAAAAAAAAAAAACCAATCGCCCCCTTGCAAGGAACACACTTGGTGAGATAAAGCATGCAATAACTTATCAGGAGCTTTTTTCTTGAAGTATTCTATAGGATACTCGTTTTGCATCTTTTTTGAAAGGTGATGATACACGATACTATTATTATTATTATTTTTTAAAAAAAAAAAGAAATGATCCGATAAACCTCGTGCGAAGTACACCAAAATAAGACAAGTCCGACATAACTGAACTTTTAGTTGTGCGAAAAACCCACTATGGGTATTGGGAAAGCAGGATCTTCAAGTCAAGCCAAGCCGCGTGACCAATTGCCCCCATCTCCAGCTTATGTGTGTTAAGTCGTGAAAAAATGAGTCCCGGAGGAATGGAGAACCCTATATTCTGCTGGCGGCTGTATTGTGCGTTGGTGTGTTTGAAATACCATCGTAGTACAATTTCCCGTATCAGGGTGTCTGCGTATATTCGAGAGCGGCGGTTGCTCAAATAACCTAAAAAGGGAGACATTCAGAGGGAAAGATCTTGTGTCATGAGAGGCTGAGCAGCGCATGGAACACATCATGGTCAAAGCGACATCTGCTTAATTTCGCAGCTTTATGAACAGTTATCCAACTTAAGCTTGCAAGGAATTATGAGAAAATATCATCCATAGTCTAAATACATTGTATACGCTAGCACTTTTATATATCGATACAATCAATTTCATGGGAAATAGAAAGGAAAGTGTCGTAATTCATCCGCCGCACCTACAAGATGACCGAAACTTTAAAAATCCATCTCAGTTTTCCTGTCCAATTTTGGCTTATTGTCACGTCCATGCAAGTTTAAAACTTTCCCTAATAAGTGTATATCCATGTATAACGTTGCAAACCAGAGAAATAATAGACTGCTTCACAACGGTGATTTCATTATAACCAGGAATACAGTCCATTCTTTTCTCGGAAACACCATATCCACCCATTTATCACGGGGTCAACATCGCTGTCCACCGAGAAACCGAAAAAGTTTGGGTTTTTTTTTTCCTTTTCATGATTTTGAGTTTAACAATTACCATGTGGTTTAACAAAAAAAGACAGAACCTTTGCCGAGTCATGCGCACGAACACTTACCAGCTTAGGTAAGAACATGGTGAAACGGGCGAAAGCATTTCTGCAATGTAATACGCATTGACATGTATCTTTTCGTTTAATTAATATACGGCTTGGATTCTTTTCCCGTCTTCGTTATACCAACAACCAGCTTTCCGTAGAAGCTTGCGTTCCGCTTGTCTATAGGCATGCAACCGCAATTTATTCTCTATATTTCTTGAAATATCAACATGATCAATTACTTTGCTGCTATTGTCGCATCTATTTCGCAAAGATGCACACGAACTCAAGTTTCATGCATGCATGCAAATCTTTGATAGCGCTCATCAGCTGCTCTATTTGATTTACTCCTGTTCGAAATATACCCTCTGTAATTAATCCTAGCGTAACGTACATTTGTCGGTCGTTGAAATGAACCTCATCGGCAGAACGCAACATTGCTGTTAACCATATGTAAATCTGCGCTATTTTGACGGACCTTGTCTCCAAAGATAGAAATATAATATTCATGCAAAACAAACATGGGCAAGTCGCACCGTAAATCAATATTGTCTGTCTTAGCACCGGTGAGCCTCTGCAACTGGAAGCACAATAAAATAGTGAGTTGATTCCCACGTCATGCATCCACATAAAGTAGTAGCTCGTCGGGTTTCCATCGTGCAGTGGGTGTCGCGAATAACCGCGCGATCGTTTCGGATAGTGACTGACGCTTGATTTTTGTCGTTTTGCCGGCGTGACACGAGGTTCCATTGCTCGCACTTTTAAGCGTGGTGTCCAACCGCTTTTATTTTTGGTCCGAGTGTCCTATTACTTTTGAAGTTCCAGCCATTTAATATTGGCGTAAGAATTAGAGTCCAATATAGCGTTTGTTCATCTGTATGAGGCATCGCGAGTGAAAATATCACACGAATTAACCTCCGTCTGGTCTGGTTATATACATGTAGAACACGTAGCATATTTCACGCGGTGCCGTTTCAATAATAACCGAAGGAAAAAAAAAAGCAAGCTTGTCTGCGATATGTTCGTTTTTCATTAAAAGAGACGGTTTCGTATCATGTGCATATGTCCATCCCAAACTGAGAATCGCATGAAGCAGTATCTTTAGCTGGGGTAAATATCAAGTTTTCGCTCCAATAACGATGCTGAGGAGCAGCATGGTCTGAATGCAGATTGTTGCAACCACACACATCATACCTGGTCCGTCGGGCTTCATACGTTTTCCCTTCTTGTAGACCTCGGCTGGAAATGGGCTGCCCTTGCAAATTAAGTAGCTAATTGCTGTAAATGTGATGATCGAAATACCGATACCTCCGACCTTTTGCGTGAGTGCTTTCTCGTTCTCGAGGCTTTTGTTCGATGCAAATATCCATTCATTACACTGAATTGTCCGCAATGTTAACATGATACAGACGAAGCGGCATAGTAAGACATGACAGAATAATACTTTCGGGATCTGCTTACTCATGTGGGCACTTAGACTGAATAAAATCATAGAATTCTCCGGCAATCATCCAGGAAACAGTGAAAGTACATCGATCAAGATGCCACAGTAAAACAAATCCGCGGTGTTGTACGGTAGTGTACAAAAATATGTTCGATGTTCGCGAGCCGATCACCAAAAAGCCTGAGATTTTTGAATGCATTGCCCAATCGAAGGATAGATGTCTGTGATGAATGACACACTGTCATCAGATTGCTCTTCGCTTTACGAGCTCCATACCTCCATAAGTTCAGTTAACACTCGGCTTGTATCTAATCGCTAGAACCATGAAATTTTATTGACGTATTTACCACGGCAAAGTATTTCAACCATTTCTTATCAAGTAAAAGCTAAACGGAATGAGAAATCTCCGATACGAGACTGCCGAGAAAGATGCCCGGAAGCATTTGCGGTTTTCAAGAACTTCGCAACTGGGTATGGGTGGAGGGCCAGAATGGAAATCAGAGACAGTCGGAAGAGTCTAACGATCATGTGAATCATAATACTTGCTGTGCTTTACAGAATTTGCCGGAATTGCACAGAAAAATCTCCAAACGAGCCTTTCATTTCGATAAGCAGGATCTTCTAAACGGATATTCGAGGCCGTGAAATGTTTCTTTGCAGTTGAAACTCATGTTGAAGTATAAGAATGTTTGATTATGATCAGAATTTGATGGTTTGCAATAATACATTCACGAACGGATGGATCAATACTACCCGGAAGCTGCGGGCGGACTCATTGACAAGGTGCTTACTGAAACAAAAATTTCCAAAGATGGGTTGAATTTTGACAGGTTTGTCCCAAAGATGGCAACAGGCTCCTGCAAGAACTCCAAGTTGCAGCTTTTTTTTTCTATCACAGTCAACCCTAGATTATCTTTGACGTATCCTATGAGCAATGCGAAAGTAGTGGGATGTCCTGCATAAAAATGGTGAGTCAATGTGAAATCAGATGCCCTTTCTGCAGGCGCAAAAAAAAACATCAGAAGCGAACACATAAATACAGGTTGGCGAAATGGTTTCAGCATATTACGCTTCATGACCCTAATAGAAATAGCCATTATCGAAATTCGCCTATCCCAGAGATCGTCTTTCCATATGAGTTCATTTTTTTATAGACCTTTGTTCCTGGTAAGAATTGAGCACGGACGGCAGTTGTCGGTCTGAGATGGAAATTCTGAGAAAAGCAAGTCACCACGTGAGACACCATCAAAGGATGTTTTGGCCGTTCCCCAGTTCTTTTCGGCGCGACTTTATTATTTATTTTTTTCTTCAGTTCAATAAGTTAAACAATGTCGACTGACAAGAAATTTGCAAGTGAAGAACTTCTGTCACAAAAGGTATGCGTCTGTCAAATTTGAATTTAACCGAGTCATTCTCCTCATGCAACTGTGATAGTGGGACCACGTTATTAGCAACTTTGTGGTCAAGACCGGTCTCGGCCTCAGTGCCGGTATTGTCTTGTCAGCATTATTTTTCAAGAGTGAGTCCACATTACAGAAGTTAAAAAGCTTACATTTGTATTGACGGAACAATCGTAGAACGTAGCTGGCCCATTGCCATCTCTACAGGCTGGGGCTTTGGTGTTGCCTACGCAGATGCACAGGTATTGTGATAATGAAGATCTCTCTTTGTCTTGGTATGCAAATCATGACTTACCATATTCTCTTCATGTTATAGCGCGTCTTCCATCCTTCCAACGTGCCCGGTGTACGATTTGAAAAACAAAAACCGACTGCTTAGGCATGATAACCAATAATCAAGAAAAGTAAAGCCCCCTGTCGCATTCATAAACCAATATTACAACAAAAGAGATGGTTATTTTCCTGTACGAATGATCTCGTGCCACAATGTTTAGTATCGTTCATCATCCGGAAGGGGATATTGCGCTCGAAAGATATGGATTCTAAAGGTGATGCCGGGGGAAGAAGGTGTACGAATGGTTGCGTCATAGCTATGATTGTCTCAGCGTTTTTTCACTTCTTCTCCAGCAAATGATGGGAGAAGCACGTCAAAAGCGCTGTAAAACGATGTGTGTATGAGCAGAACCACGACAGTTCAATACTTTGTCAATTATGCGAGCTCATTACAAGGCTTCGAGATGTTTTCAATCTCCTTATCCTGCTTGGTATGAGTCTTATCCACGGCTGTTCACATATTTTTGGCAAAAGACTATTCATTGTGCTATTTTGTATCGATTCTGTCGATATCCTTTCCAGAACGGGGCAATCACCTATTAGTCCAAGGGGCATTTCCAGCTTCGAGAATATCTTTATTTCTAACATCAGCCTGAAAGGCGTTGTCCCCAAAAGAAGTGAATAATTGAAACTTTCAGCATACTCGGAAATGATGGTCTTCCTGCGTACACATCTGAGCTACGATATGCTATTGGATATTTATTCAGGCAGCATAAAAGCTAAGCTTTTGGATTTAATGAAAGGTCGGAACATTTGAATCCAGTCAAGCAACATTTTTGATTCAAAGCGCCTTCAGAAAATTGGTAGATGCGGGATAATAAGCCAGTTACCAATGTATTCAAAGAACCTTGATCGATCGTAATACAGTATGCCGTCATACAGAAGGTCAGAGTATTCTGAAAATTTTTTAACAACAAAGCTTAACTTCTGCTTTTTCTGAAAAAGATTCCCATAGCAGCAAACGACAAATTGCAATCTTGTTTGGGCTTACCCAGTCGAGAATTCACATCCGTAATAGCCTTCCATATGATACCTGCTGTGGAACCACTTTTCATAAATAATCGTACGTGGTATATGGGGAACCAACGAACCTGAGGGAAAATTAGATAAAGTCGCTCTGTCACGCCTAGTCGAAGTTATGGCCGACGGTTCCGAATCATGATCGGCCAACCAATTTCTGCTCTAACCTTGGTCGCCAAGATCAGCCGGCCACATCCAACGCGGTGTCTCCTAAAAATGATACGTGCCGTACGTGAGTGGCAGATTTTAACAAAGTTAATGTGTTCGACAATAGGAAGCAATCGACGCAATTAATTCCAGTTCTAGTTCCGCTCTTTGCTTAATCCCAACCTCTTCTCATTTGTGGTAGATCGTGCTAATGTATTACAATTGCTCTGATTCTTTGTATAGCAGGGTTATTTTTTTAATTCGCAATAAAGGGGCTGAAGAAAATTCAAAAATGGTGGGGGTTGGAAAACGAATATTATCGTGAGGTTTTAGGATCCAAACTTTTTAGATGCAGAAATACGCTTCGCGACAAACGCTAACCAGCATAGGAGATTGTCCCTTAGGACCAGAGAAGGATAAGTAATAAAATAGAAATAATTTAGAACGAGAGTGAAATAAATTAGATCGATTTCCGAAAGCAGCCCTTTAATATCCCAGTTATATCGGAAAGTATCTTGATGTCTGTTTGGCACAGCAACCCCACTGGCATCAGCTGAAAAAATTCATAATGGTGCCTCTTGAAAAAGCTGATTAACAAATTGTAGCGCCAGGTGCTGCCGTGATATCAGGTTCGGTTACCAGGATGCAACCGGATGCTGCTGCTGCTGCTACTACTGGGTTACAGAGAAATATATTAAGGGCTATGAGCTTTTCAAGATAAAAGATCATATGATTTATTTTACAAGTTTGATTGATACTTATTTCCCAGCAGAATATTCATACAACTAACCTATATAAACTTGGAAATAAGCAATATCAGAACTTTTCAACCAATCAAGAAAAAAAAAAAGACTCAGGCATGCAGCCAAAAACTCAGACTTTAGATAATCAAAATCGGCAAACTATGAACAGACGCAACATCTTCCACTTTTTTATAACTTTTGTACATCTGCTTTTGAATACTCCTTTAAATGACTGCGACATTCTTTCTTCTCTTATCTTGTGTGCTTCGGTCGAAATTCCGTTTTTTAGATTTTGGTTTGTGATAGTACATTTAATTTCACAAAAATGTCAAATCGCGATATATCTCCTGGCCCTATTGGTTCGATATAGGCGCGCGGCCAATGTGAGTGACTGCTTTTTTGGTAATTTGATCGATTCCCAGGTTACGGTAATGATCATCGTTTTTTATTTTATTTTTCCTTGATAAGCGAAATAGAAACATTGCAAGTGAAAAGAGAATTCCACCAAAATGGAAACTTTAGGGTTTTCTGATTAAGCGATTTCATTCAAAGAATGTTGAGAAATTGCGCTTTTTGCCTGAGCACAGCAACGGATGAATACTTCTTACGTCACGGGACAATCACATGATTGTGTGGTCACGTGATCGCGTTTGCAGAACTAGAATGTTTTTCAACTCGACAAAATGTGAAGTGTGGTGGGAGAGTGGTAACCAAATTAATGCAAGAGTAACCCAAAGAAAGAATATTCAGAACAGAGAAGATTAGCTTCAGAACTTCCATGGTTCTTTCTCCAAATACTAACTTCTTGTTACCGTAAATCCGAATAAGGTGATAGCCAACTGTAAAAACTATCAGACTATTCCAAAGAGACTTTCAAAAATGTAGGCGCTAGTCCAAAGTGTATCTTCGAAAAGATGTCTTCCCAAAATAAGAGATCAAAAGACAAAAGCTTAAGGATATAGATACAGAAATTTCTAAAAGACATTTAAGTACTTTCACCGGACTATAGTTTCTTAACTAAGGAATTACATAATATGTAAGAACAATAGAAATAATCATGGTTTGAGTCATCGTCAGAACGTGTAATAATCATAAGATAATTTCAGATCGTTAAACGAACTTCACGAAAAATCGAACGGGACTTCCAATTCACACTCCGCTTCTGAAAAAGAAGGAACCGACAAATCGATCGATATTTCATCGCCCAAACATCATAGCACCACGGGAGAAACACCAAAAGAAAGGGAAAAGACCAACGAATTCAGGCAACCACAGAAATTAACCAGAACAAGGGAAATCCGAAAAAGGCAGTCGGCCGAGGCTTGTACAACTTTGGTTTACGCAAAAAATGATACGGGTAAGTGGCTGGCGATTAAAGAAGAACGAAAATAGGGATCGGGGAATGAGTGGTAAGCGATAGAGCCCGCGGTACAGATATGATCAAGGTAAAATAAAACAGTGAAGGTCGTTGCACGGGTTCCGCCTTTCCGCAAAAATATACGATCAGTACCGTTCTGACAATACTCCTTATTGCCGTTCTGATACTGCAATCCAGGTATATTTCCGTGACAGTCAAAGTCAATATAATGTTAGAAATAGGGTCGTCAATAAGTCTGCTGTCAGCACGAAATAAACGTAAGGCCCCCAAAAAAATAGATCTCAAAGAAGAGTCGATTTATTCACAATGCACGATCAATTCGATTTAAGCTAAAATTTACATTCGCAAATTCCGGGCCGCATGCCGGACAGCCAACTCCGGACCAATATTTTAAAGGCCGACCGGAACATCCACAACAGGCCGCATCAAAAATGTAAGGGGCTATGGCCAAATGGATAAGGCGCCTGACTACGAATCAGGAGATTCCAGGTTCGACCCCTGGTAGCCTCGTATTTTTTGCTTTTATTTTTTTGTATTTCCTAAGACGTTCGCTGTGTCGTCGTCAATATTCTGTGCTGGAATTCCAATGGCCAGATATACGATTAGGGTAGACAAGGACAGTAAGAATATGGGAAGATAAGATGATCTTTATATTCTTTTGGTGTACGTGGATATTTATACTTTGGGTCTTCTAACTATCGATGACAGCATGGGGTACAGAAAGGGAAGGTTACGCTTATGACGTATCATGCTTAGCCCTACTTCTTGACGAGGTTTCTAGAAAGGGATTGTTGGCCGATCGTGATGTAATGGTTGCCAAAAGGGGAAACCCCAAAATGATTGGTTGAGCATCAAAAAGGCTACGACAGCTGCAACACTTTCGTTTTTGGTAATGACGCTTTGATCACCTTCAAGCAAGCGTTTCCTTTATCGAACAGCTCGGCTGAAAGGCTGAGCATTCAGAACCGAAATACCCTGCGAAGCCTTATTGTTAGTTACGCCGGTTCTTCTTTTGCACCGATTAGATTTGCTATACCAAAGTTTAGCAAATACGGAAGGTAGCGCATTGGCTCGTCCGCAGATTGGTGTCTGGAGGAAGCTTCGAGAAGGTATGAAGGACCAATGGATGAACGAGGCATACCACCAAAGGTATTGCCTGGAAAACGGAAGAACTATAGGCCGAATCCGTTCAGCATTAAAGTGGTCCGGAAACTTCTTGATTTGCCATGTTTCGGAATAATTCTGGAACTTTTGCAGGAAGTCTGCGAGAACCTTCCTGAAGACGGTTGACATAGAAAGATGTATCTCTGTAGAAAATATAAATATGACCATGTTATGGTAGAAATAAAAACAATCAACTACAGATTTAAACTGGACTCTAAAGGAGTACTCAAATCTGACATTATTACGAAATTATTATAGATAACCCAAAAAAATCTAAATATCCCCTCGATCAAAACGAATAAAGATCATCAATTATCTATCCTCCAATTCTATTTTATTCCTTCATCTATTGTCCGTGGAATCAGTATCCGGAATAGATCCAGCAAATCTTGAAACGCCATTTTTAATGTTAAGGTTCTACGGGCGGATAGGAGGAGGAAGTAAAATAAAAGCCTTTTCTTTTATTTATTTTACTTTTCTTTTACTAAGAGTGAGTCAACTGTCGTACTTCACTCGGATCTAATATACCGACAAGATCACCAGAGTGGGAAACAAGAGGACTAAATATAGGAAGGACGACTCTTTATTTTGTCAATTGGAAGGGGATATTTATATGTGCTTATTCGGTCTATGTTCTTAAAGCGGTAATGGCTGAGGCGTGAGGATAGAGAGCTGAGCGGCTAAAACTTCGATAAAAGGATGTTGTACTAAGGAAGATGCTAAGCTGATTACCATTTCGTATTGTCCGCTTCAGCCACGACAATACGCATCCATTGCGGATTATTGTTGGCCCTGCGATCCAATGGAAAATATTCATTAAAAAAGGAAAAAGGTGTTGAGATAAAAAAAAAAAAAAGTAAAAGGATTTTCTTTATTTAAAGGGTGAGTGAACACACATTCGTTGCGGACTATTGCTCGCCCTGGATCTTTGGGAAATAGTGCTACTGTAAAAAAAACCACTTGCGGAGAACAAGGGTAAAATTGCGTGCAGGAAGCGTAGAGCGGCAGGTATGCGAAAATAAGAGCAAAAACAAAAGGAAAAAAGAAAGAAACCGAAGAAAAGAAAAGGAAGGTGCTGGACTATCAAAAGCCGTTCGATGGGATGAGCCAAACGTAGGAAAGCAGTACTGAGAGCCGGGGAGCAAAATGAGCCAAATCATCCTCGGGAACGGATGAATGAACTGGTCAAGTTTCGATCAAAAAGAGAGACAGAATGAGCCAGTTATGCTGCCAGAAGCGATGGACAGAGTGGTCGTCACGATGGGGAGCTTTGCTTGGCAATTTGTTAAGGAGATAGTCCCTTACATTGGGAGTGGGGCCCAGGAGGAGAGAAATAAGCCGAGAGGAAAGGTGTAAACAAAATATGAAATGATGGCGACTAGTTCGGGCAAAAGGTGCTGGGATAGGTAGAGCCTTTTGATGATTCAACGCTGAAATCGTGCCAGGAGCAGGCGAAGTAACATGAGTCGAAGCAGGATGAATTAGATTGTCAAGTCCAAGAAGAAAGAGAGAAATAATGAGCCAATTATGTGACCAGAGACGTAGGGCAGCATTATGTGAGAGCTTTGCTTGGCAACTGTTAAGAAGGTATCATTGTCTACTACAGTCGGGGTGCGGTAGACAAATAGGCCGAGACGAAAGATTTAAACAAGATATTGGTTGGTGAAGCCACAATTGCATAGGCGTGGTTTACCGGGAGCGGATGAACGACTGTGTCGTGGTTGGGCATCATCAGAAGGAAAATTGGACCAATTCTATGTGGGGGCGACGAGCGAAGAGAAGGACTGGAGGATTGAGAGAGCTTCGAAGCTTATCAAAGTCCTGTTGGCGGATTTGTAATAAGATGTATGCAAGGATTTACGGTCGATATCTTTGACTGATGTGGCTAATTGGTTCCTGATTACATTCTTGTGCTGAAATTTCCACCGACGGGACTAAGTCATCAGGAGAGGAAGCAAAGCTGTAAATACTGTATTGCAGATCAAATGAGAGCAACGTCAGAGAAGTGGAAGATTGGTTACGTAGTGGACGAGTTGCGTTGGGCGAGGTTCGGTGACCACCAAAAATTATGCAAAGACAGATAATTTGGGCACGGTTCAATAGCAATACCTGGCGTTGAAGGGGTGGGAGTGATATCAAGGTCACATTCAAAGGCAGGGCGAAGGAACTGACGCTGCAATTGCACGGCTAACAAGCGAATTTGGCTATCCGGTTGAAGCACGTCATCATCTATTAAAGGCAAGCTGTGTAGAGGTGAGGAAAAAGGATGAAGTTTTATAGACACCAGTTGCAGGCAAGCAACAAGAAGTTAGATAGGAATAAAATGGGGAGGATATTTAAATGCATGTGTTCGGTCGATGTTCTTACTGAGAATGATGGTAGAGGCGTGAAGATGGATAACTGAGTGACTGATAGTTCACAGAAGGGTGGTTGTGCCGATTAAGATGCCATTTTTGGGCTATCTACTTCAGCAACAACAATTTTTAATCCATGTAAATTCGATAGCCATTAAATGAAGCTGTCTGAGTCTCCTTTTTTTCGTTTTTAGGTCGCTCTCGTCAGGACCATGAAAAAAATAAAATTCTGCAGTGGCTTGCTGAAAACCAATTTTTATTGCACAGATAGTTTACAAAGAGTTCCCTTTCTTTTACCTTCTTAAAGCATTTGGTAAGCAGGGCAGGCAGGAAGAAAAAGAAGATTAACTGGACACATAGATAGCGCTAGGTCAGCAAGGGGCGTGTAGAACCGTCGAACCTCTGATTATTTTACCAGAGAAGGGGAGTGCGGATGAGTAGCAAGCTACCAAAAATGCTCGGTCTAAATATTCGTCTGGTAATTTCTCTCATATTGTAGTGTCTGGTTCAATGATCTCAAAAAGATGTTGTTTTGAAGTACTCAACACATGTTACGAAGTAGAGTAAAAGACTTATATATTATTTTGCGCAACTTACACTTTTGCATAGCTGATACATCACACCGCTGTCTTCACTCCGAAAAGCTAACTTTGTTCTAAATAGGATAACACGCAACAGCGTTCTTGCTCGCTTTCTTCAGGCGTTATAAATCCTTCTTCGTTTAGGTCTCCTATCGGCGGTGTAGTAAAATCCAATTGAAGGTCCGTTCAATATTGCACTCTGCAAGTACTCGGACGATTAGCACTTGTCACAACGCTCAATCTAACAGACCGGTCTGTTATCCACGGACATACCACCAGCATCGCGACAATAATTCTATACCCATACGAAAATATACCTTTTAATACCACACTGCAAAGCAAAACGACTTAGAGACGTACCATCTAAGTTAGGAGATATCCAGACAACCAGAACGTCTTTAGTTTAAGATGCTAGTAAGTTTCCATGGTGATAACTGCATGTATTTACGAAGCAGGGCACTTAATGGTTTCTTCATTCTTCCACACTCTTTTATTATAAGTTGTTTTTCAGTCTGCAGGCTACATGTAAATTGTTGTGCGAATGGCTCATAGGAAATGATCTCCTATATAAAGTGAATCGATTTCTCTTCATAGGGTAATGATGGTCGGCGACATGTTTTATCGAATTTGCGTCATTTCAAACTGCCGAACCCAGCTGTTCTCCACTTGGTGGCCGTGTTGGGAAATAAAAAAAATTCGAATGGCTGGGCCCCTACCAAAGACCCTCTTGTCTGTCTGCCATTCACTGTGCTATTCTTTGACCTCTCGGCTTTTGCTTTTCCAATCTAACTTCTGTTGGCTCGAATCTTTGTCTTGTCTGTCCGTATTCTTGTCAACCTACCAGCCATTATGCCACCTCAAAAGAAGGCCATTGCGCTTCGTTTGAATCGTGAAGCTCTCAATTTGCTTGAGCAAATGTGCAAAGGGCAAGCGGATTCGAACCTAACGCTTCAAGTTGAAGATAACAAATCGGTATGAGTGCGATATAGTCTTGTGCTTTGATGGGGACTTCTTACTAATGAACTGAGTAGACTATGGTGATCGGGAACAAGTCTTTCCCTTTAAGCCTGCTGGAGGGAAATGCTCCAGGCTCGATTTATGCATCCAACAATCGTAATGGATCGAACAGAATTGCATTTGTGGGCGACGTACTACAATGGTCCTGTATGCGGCAGGTTCTTTCCAGAGAAGACATTTCAAGAGTGCGAAGTCGAACGGAAGCAGCTGAACGAGATAAGAATGCTAGACGAACAGAGCTTCTAGACGTTCCAGATATCATACCATTGCAGCCCAGTTCCGGTAAAAAATTGAATGCGAGACGTCAATCGCAAGGAGCAGCTTCTGTTTCGCCTACTTCCCTTCGTCCAGCTGCGCAACGTGTTCAAAAACCTTCCAGCGTATTACCAACACCAAAATACGATCTTGCACCGTCTTCTTCACCTTCTCTGTCCGCTTCTTCCACTTTACGCGATCGCTTGATTCATCTGCTTGCTCTACGTCCATGCGCTCTTTCGCAACTGTTGAACATGCTTAAAGTTACTGCGGCAGAGTTAATGTCGATTCTGAAAAAGGTAATTTGAAGTGCTGTATATTCGGAGCATGTTGATTGATTATGGAATATTTCTTTACTGGTTTGCAGGTGGCTGTATGCGCAAACAACGAATGGTGCTTGCGCCCAGAGATCTACAAAGAAATTCGGATCTGGGAATGGAATCGGTATGATGACAAGGAACGAGCAATTGTTGCCAATAACGCCGAAGAGGCGTACGATTTACTGAAATTACCACGGAGTGCGCCGGAGCGTGCAAATCTTACACCTGCCCGTAAACCACGAAATCAGCAACAGTATCTGATACAACCGCCTCCACAACGTCGTACAAGTGGGCAAGAATCTCTGAAACGGCAGGATCGATCAGACGAAGAAAAGCCACGGGAAACAAAGAAGGCCAAAAAATCGACAGAGAAAAGCAAATCCAAAACATCAAGTAATGCGAGTCAGAAAGACTCACCTATACCAACGTCATCATCTACCACGAAAATCCACCGAGACTCGGAAATCAGATGCGCACAGCCTACTAAAGCCAGCATTCACACATCGAATCAATCGCGGACATTATCAGGTATATTAACGAGCTACCACAGAAGTGGCTATTTTAGGTTGTTTGGCTGAATCATTGACTTAATTGTATATTATTAGCAAGAGCAATTCCTCCCAAAACAGTTGCGAGTGATTCTGAAAGCACCGATGATGAGTCGAATAGGCCCTATACACCACCTGTTATCCAATCTCAGACAGATTTTGAAAAACTGTGTAAAGAGCACGAACAAGAACAAAAGAGATATATACGATTTCGAAAAGACATCAACAAGCAATATCCGATCTATATCGACGCTCTTTGCAATTCCGATCCTGCAGAAGATAAGGGGGCTGAAATCGATCAAAAAGAACATGTACAGCGAAAACTGCGTGAATATTATCGATCTCACGGCGGCGATATGAGCAAATGGCGGTTACTGATGCGGCTTACGCGAAGATTCAATTCACAGCATACCAAGCTCGAAGCAATGTGGATCGCTATAGAAAAGGCCTTTCACAAAAATCATTACAAGATACCATCTTCTTCCTCTTCATGATTGGTTATTATACAGGGAAAATTCTTCATTTCAGTAAGTAATAAAAGAACCAAGTGCAGCATGTCGGAGCAGTGTTTTTGAAAGAGAAAAAAAAAAGATCAAGGCTCCGCGAAAGGATGTCGTTCCGTTTTGATACCAGTAAGAGTATGATATAAACTGCCATCAGCCAAAGTTGCCCAGCCAAATTCGTCAGGTTCAGAGTAATTATGGGCATTATGCTGAAGGGAGGAAGGTGAAGGTGATAGTGAGGAGGTGTGACTGGATCCGAACAATTTACTGGAAGAACCGCCGTAGTCGAGTCATAGTTCGGTGGATTGTAAAATGTTGGCCGCACCATCGACAGTTGAGAATTAGCATCCAATGGTTTTGCGCGCTCAAATTGACTATTTAACGTCGTCTCTCGGTTATCGTCAGTCATGTCTATTGACTTGCGGATCATCATTGCAGTTATTCCAAAATCGAATATAACCGATGCCAACAAAATCACACTGTTTTTGAAATCCAACAATGACGACAGCGTCCTTGGAAAGCAAAGTTTGCCTTCATGCCTTGCCAAGTAAAGTCCAGGTTTTGCGAGATGGATGGAACCAAGATGAGCGTGCAATCCGTTGGCTTGCATGTACCAAGCAGAGGGAAGAGATGAGGCTTTGCTTTTCAATAGATCCTGGAACGTATCATCAAGGTTGTCCTTTGCTTCGCGCATTAATTTGCATACATCTTTACAAAGCTTGGAGGCAGAACCGTCCTTGGTGACCTCCATAGAAAGCAGATCGTGCTCGTTTTGGCGTGAATCGTATAACAGTCGAAGATCCACTTTGAAGCCGACACATGCTTCGCTGTATGTACGCTTCCTGCCGATGACACCATGCGCTGGATTCGACTCGCCAACTTCCATACGTAAAATTCCATGGACATCAACAAGGCTCTTCAACAATGGCCGCCCATACTTGAATAATAAAATCGTACTCCGTAATGCGATCAACATTATCATTTTTAAGCAAGAAACGATTGGATTCGACGATGTGAATAACAACTGGGATGACTTGTAGCAGCTTTTGCACTTCAGCACATCTTGTTCTAACATCTTGGATGTATTCAATCGCCTTGCGCGTGTCATTCTCCTTGTCAATGAGTGAGGCAACGATATCAAATGTTTGACTGAATATGGCCGGAGGCTGGTATTGTATGGATCTGTATTTTGTTATGAAAAACTTTGTGACTCGCCCAAAGTCCTCCTTGCTGCACTCCAGAAATTCCTGCGCCAATTCACTATCGGTGAGATCCCATATGGATGATAGCCCGCATGACATCCAATGCAATTCCTGATCGGTGACGAATTCGCCATTCTTCCATCGGCGAAAGATTTTCAATGCCTTATGCTTGATCTCTGTGCCAACCGTTGAATAATCGATTTGGACTCCGTCTGCTTCCTTCATTGTCATGTATTTGGATATCAGGTCAACACATTCAGCAGGACGAAGTTGCCGTAGAGGGAATGTCGGGTTGGTCTTCCTGGTCATTTATTTCTTCATGGATAAGGTTGTCGATCTCTTTACCGAATTTGATTGCGCCAAGAGTGGAGAGCTTATCACCGTTGACAAGGCCTTGGTTCGTGGCGTTCTCCTTTTCGCACTTCAGTTGCCACGCATCTGCAAATGCGCTAGTCGTTTTCTTGCGCTTACTAGTATGTCTTTAGTTGTTCGCAGAAGGTACGTAATGGGGTAAAAGTCTTTTCTTCTGGCAAGTGTGGTGAAAGCTTGGATAAGAGCCCCTTTGACGTTCTTTACGCTTTTATCTTTATTGTCCGCTTCTTGCCATAATTTATCAACGACTTTCTCCACATTGGCTCAGTCGGAGACATCTAACGTGTTGAAGATAGGGGCGACCTTGTATGATAAACAGCCTTCTTCAGAAATGCGGAAAGAAGCTGGCAGACCACGTGGAATCGGCACCACGGCATACGATAAAGAGTAAATGGAAAAGGAACAGCCCAGTACTTATTTCGCTGAGCGCGGAATAAAAAAAAGTTAGATCTGTAAATAATGTCATAATTCACAGAAATGCCGTTACCTTGGTTCCACAGCACAAGTTCGGATTCTTTGCAACGCCAAAGGTGTTGAATCAAAGTGGCAAACCCGATCTCATGTATGTGACGAGGGGACATGCGCCATCCCTTTCAACATCAGCACCTCCCCTTTCAACATCAGCACCTCGAGCCAATCCGTAACAAAATTTGAGTCCAAATATCAAAAAGCTGTTTTCTCCTTCCCTTCATGGAAGCATCGTTGTCTCGCTTCACGCCGTTTTCTCCTTATGGTTGCTTCTGCGATAGCTTGGATCTGCATGTATTCCCAGCTTCAAAAATTAACGAAAGCATGTTTTTTACTGAATAGTCCATTAAGAGGTTTGTCAAATGCTTGTTGGTCGATTGGTGAAAAATCGAAGTAGGATTCATATTTCAGCATTGCGTCAGTGACATTTGGTTCTGTCATTGAGTCTCTGATTCCTTTGTCATTCTCTCAGGTTTATGCTGATACCGGGTAAATGCCTATATTATGTGGCCATCAATGTTGACGGATACAGCAATAAAGTATGGTGCATAAAGTAAAATAGAGTGGTGTTCTCGTATTAAATACCCTTTGAAATAGTCAAAAGATGAACCAGAAAATCCAATGAAATTCTCCTTCTTCCCATTAAAATATTGTAGCGAAAACGTTATGATTGGTTTGTAACATACTTTGTCAGAAGTATCTCTTTCAAAACACCAACTGAACATGTTGCTTGGCTGCTGTTGTACGGTGTCTTTCTTACTATCTTCGTTGCTGGAAGCTGCCTGAATGGAATGAGCCAGATGCACAGTTGTGTCAATTACCACAAATAACAACCCAAGTATGCTTTATCAGAATCTTTGAAGATCCATGCATATGGTGTAGGATATCAACAACATATAACGTGGTTGAAAGGTTCGCTGAAATTCTTACGCTTTTTCCGAGAAACAGCCATGCAAAGTGTGGAGCAAGGACATGCGACTTACTGTACAGTACATATTGCCTAGTTATGCCCTCACAGTACAAGAGCAAAATATAAGCGGACTTCCAAGAGCTAGCTACAGTAGTCACTCTTCCATAGTATAGTATGCTGACGTCCTCAAAGCAAAGACCTGTATGTAATCATGGGTCCACAGTATTTGTGCTCAGGATCATCAATGATATTAGACATGCAGTATCACAGCTTATAAACTGTCGCTCTCTAAAGTATATTACCATACAAATATGATCATGAAATTTTAGAAATAGAGAAATATTATGTCTTGTTTTTTTTAATGAAATAACAGCGGCAATAAAGCATGCTATAATATGAAAAACACAAGTAATAGAGCCGCCAGTTTAATACTGATCAAGTTTAGCCTTAAGTCGGAATTAATAATTATCAGTGAGCAGTCCTCAGTTATAAGATATACAGTATTAGGAAGGATCCACATGCTGTGATGTGACAGCTTTACTCATATGAATTGATCTCGGCGATAGATCTAAGTTATGGATGTAGAGGCTCAATTGGAATTCTAATGGAGAAGCTCACTCAGAATGGAAATACGTCTAGATCCCAATCATTCGTGTTTGGGAACACCAGTCTAAGATGGATAATACGACAAGTAGTAGTTACAGTGGCTGAAAAAATTGTCCAAACCTATGCCAGTTTTTTAAGTTTTTATTCATACCGCAGCTTTTGCCATATGTATCGTCCGAATTTTTTTTTATATGAAAAGTACATTCTCTTCTCTACCTTGTCGCGAAATCTCGAAGATCGCATTGCAATTCATCGCATTGCATTCAGCATTTCAACATGATCGGTCGGTTTGGACAATTTTTTCAATAAATCTGAAAATAAGAAAAAGTGCTTTTTCAGCCGTTTTTCTTCCTTGCTGGTACGAAAAACGCTGGCGAAATAAAAATATCTTAATGGCAACGTCCTCTAAAAAATATACACGAAGCATTCCAGGCAGAATCGTGCAATTCATGAACGCCATTAGCTCCAGGTTGAATTTGGTGCATAATGGGCGGATCTGGGGGACCGCCAGCACACTGCATCTTTTTTTTGAGCACGTTTTTCATAGTACCGCGACTTATTTTTTATTCATAGAAAAAGAGAATTTTTTTCTCTACGCTGTGCCAAAATCCCGAGCATTTTACTCCAATTCATCCTAATGCCATTGCCAATCCCGCATGTGCTCTTCATTAAGAATGGTGCTCAAATGACATGAAAAAAAAGCAGCCGAAAAAGCCTGGGAAATAATGTTGCGGTGATCAAAAACCGTGCTGCCGTGCATTTTACAGCCTTTCGGATCATATTCAAGCTAACGAAAATGCTGGAAGAATAAAATCTGCTTACGCCATGTGGTCAGATTAACCTCATGCTTGTCATAAGCGCACCCTCCGCATTTCACTCATTATAGCAGATCAACGTACTCCTGATAAGCTTAACAACCTCCGGGTGCCTTTTTTTGCATAGTGAGAGCCTTAAGAACGTCATTACTGCTGGCTTGTGGCTATTTCCCGGTAAATGATCTGACATGATGAGTGAAATGCGGAGGATGCGCTTATGACAAGCATGAGGTTAATCTGACCACATGGCGTAAGCAGATTTTATTCTTCCAGCATTTTCGTTAGCTTGAATATGATCCGAAAGGCTGTAAAATGCACGGCAGCACGGTTTTTGATCACCGCAACATTATTTCCCAGGCTTTTTCGGCTGCTTTTTTTTCATGTCATTTGAGCACCATTCTTAATGAAGAGCACATGCGGGATTGGCAATGGCATTAGGATGAATTGGAGTAAAATGCTCGGGATTTTGGCACAGCGTAGAGAAAAAAATTCTCTTTTTCTATGAATAAAAAATAAGTCGCGGTACTATGAAAAACGTGCTCAAAAAAAAGATGCAGTGTGCTGGCGGTCCCCCAGATCCGCCCATTATGCACCAAATTCAACCTGGAGCTAATGGCGTTCATGAATTGCACGATTCTGCCTGGAATGCTTCGTGTATATTTTTTAGAGGACGTTGCCATTAAGATATTTTTATTTCGCCAGCGTTTTTCGTACCAGCAAGGAAGAAAAACGGCTGAAAAAGCACTTTTTCTTATTTTCAGATTTATTGAAAAAATTGTCCAAACCGACCGATCATGTTGAAATGCTGAATGCAATGCGATGAATTGCAATGCGATCTTCGAGATTTCGCGACAAGGTAGAGAAGAGAATGTACTTTTCATATAAAAAAAAATTCGGACGATACATATGGCAAAAGCTGCGGTATGAATAAAAACTTAAAAAACTGGCATAGGTTTGGACAATTTTTTCAGCCACTGTAGGAGGGTAAATCCCGGGATTGTGGGGCCGCCATGGCTGTATCGAAGGTGCATCAGAGTCGAAGGAGCTGCATGAGACGGTAAAAAGGTAGTGGGGGCAGCTATCGGAGAGGACATGAGTTCATCAGCGGGCGAGGGTGCAATCGAGGGGATGTGCTCAGTAGTAACATCGTGAGTCTCAGCAGTGGAGCAATTCATAGGTGTGGGTAGAGAAGTAGCCAAAACGGTAGTGCCAGCGGCGGGAACAAGAGCAGTGGGGACATGCGCAGAAGGAGCATCAGGCTGTCTGGAGTAGTCGAGCCATTGTTGAATCCGTGAGTCTATGGATGCGGGCGACATGGTGCGATTATTTGGCTGGGAGTGTTGGAGGCGTCGTTGTTGGGTGTCATTGTGGAGAGCAGCAACGAGATCAGAGTCCAGGCTGGAGACAGAGTTGTCGTCAGAAAAATAATCGGCGGCAGCCGGGCGGGAAACCTGTACTTCCTCTGAGGCGACGAGAGCCAATGGTGAAGGAGGGGTGGAAGGAATTGCTGGGATCGATGGCTCAGGAGTTGGAGACATTGAGATGTGAGTCATGGAGCGACAACGTGGCGGACTGGGAGCTGGTGCACGAGAGGCAATATTGGCAAGCATAGCAAGAGCAGTTGCTGCAGTATCGGCCGAGATTGGGGGTGCAAGGTTAGCAAAGGCATCCGTATTGTCACAATCATCGAGATCAGCAGTAGACACACGGGCAGGGGTCGGGGGTGGTCATGGGACTGGAGTTCCATCAATGGTAGCGACACGAGGACAACGATGTCCTTGGAAATCAGGTTGAGGCGAGCGAAGGGCCATAGGCCATTTTCCAAGCACACTGGCTGTAAGGCGAGGGCTGGATTCGGGAGTCCTAAAAGGCATACTGATCGGTGAAGTCGATGGTGGCGTGCCGTATATCGCATCGTTTACAACTGAATCATCATCGTTATCGAGAAGGTTACTATCAGTGGCGGCAGCTTCGTCGAAGGTATCAGCAGTGGGGGCGACATTAGTGGTAGATGAGCGCGGCTGAGCAATGATGGTGGCAGCGTCGGTCTCAGTGGCATCCGTTGAGGGAGGAGTAGAGGCGATGGCCGGTTCATTGGCTTGACGTGTAGCTTTGAGCTGGGAGACAGCAGCGTTGACGATGTTCGTATGTTTCCAGATGTGTCGTTGTTGCAGGTGTTGTTTGATTGTTGGTAGGTCCCATCCGACGTCGCCAATGACTTCTTTGAGCGTGTTGAGATCAGAACCCGCAATGGGAAGACACCAGGCACCCGCCATAGCCTCGATAAGACCAGGATGGGTCGCTCGGTGAGAGTCTAGTTCGTGACGAGGGAAGTTTTGCTCGCAACCATGGCAAAAAGCCAGGGTGTCGTTGTCATCGGAGTTGTTTGGGTCGCCGTTGCAATCATACCTGAGGTGATGAGAAAAGTTGAGCTTATCGATATCGGCGAAGCCGCAGGAGCGTGGGCAAGTCCAGACGATATGCAAGAATTTGTGGTGAGTGGTTGTATAATGTTCTTGCAAGCGCGAGGGGTTGTTGTATAGTCGTTGACAGACAGGACAGGAAAACGATGTCGATGTCGTGGGAGCAGGGAAGTCGTCAATAGGTAGATTACCGGGACCAGGTCGGTGCAATGGCGGAACGTGTAGAGCGTGCGGTTCAAAAAAGTTTCGAACGCAGGGATGCTGGACAAAGTCAGAGCGGGAACCAAAAGTGCGCGGACAATCGTAGCAGTGCCAGACAACGGTGCATTTGATGCGGTGCTTTTTCATACAATGCTGAGCGAGCGATCGGCTGGTGAAATAGGTGCCTTTGACGGGGTCAGGACATACTGGACAAAGAAAGTATTCAGAGTTGGCATGACCGGTGACAGAAAGGCCCATGGATATGGCGATAGGGGGCATTGGGGCACAGACAGTGACACAGGGGAGCGTAGTCTAAAGCTGGAGCTGTTTGGGTGGCAGCACAGGAAAAGTTTTTTCGGTTTTGATAAACAATGGCCAAGAGGGTGTGTTGCCAGGCGGGAATGTTGAAAAGTCGATATGCGCAGAAGTGGTTGTACCGGTTCGGCGTTCGAGGATTCGAGAGAGATCGGGATAAGCTATGATAATTAATTAAGTCGCGCTGTCGATTTACGAAAGAGTTCGTCGATAGGGCGCGCGAAAGTTGGTGTTGTTGTTGGGGATTCCGAGATGGTGGAATGAAGGGCGAAAAAAGTGCTATTCTTGTGAAGATACCGGGTTGCAAGTGGTATCAAAAGGTGCGTAAAGAAGTGTTCTTTCTGGTAGGTGCAAAAAATAAATGCGTTTAGATGCTCGAGATCGCAAAAAATCAAAAAGTTTCCCCAACGGGGAATTGAACCTTTATAATATTATTCGTGGGGAAATTTGGTCAATGATCGGCACTATGTGATGAAAAACCTAAAACTCAAGGAGAGGGAAGGAAAGGATGTGGTGATCCTGCCAGAGAGAGGCCTATTGACAGATGCCCTAGCACCGGGAATGGGAATGGGCAGAATGTGGGGGTGTGAAGAAGAACGAGCAGAAAGCAGTGGGTAAGATAGGAAACTTGGAGAGACGCGAGGGCGTGAGCGAAATCTATAGAAGAGTAAATGTTAAGTGCAGGTGGTTAGCGAGAGCTGGGATAAACAAAGCATTATCGACGGAGAGGAACAGAGTTCGAGCCAGTAGCAACACCAATGGAGTGGCGAGGTCCAGAGAAGGTCCGTGCGCAGCGTTGTGCCCAAAGTTTATGGCCGAAACGGAGAACATCGCAAACAAGCCAGCGGTGGAGACGAGGGGCGTATTTAGCCTTGCAGCCTAGGGATCGAAGGATCTTGTCGTTGTTGGCCCAAGTACCACCGACATCACCGAGGACGAAAGCATCGAGAGTCACCGAGTAGCCAAGATCGACATATAGCTGTTTTAAGGGTGTGTATTTGTTGATCTTTTTCGCCCGAGCAGCGTCGAAGCAGTTGGAGTCGGCCGTGGCGTGTGTGGCGCTTTGCGCAGTGATGGTGACATCATAAATCAGGACAGTTTTGGCCGTTACGTTGACGATCACAAGATCAGGGCGGAGACGGTCACTGTTGATCAGCGGTGGGCAAGCATTGACGGTGATAAGCGCATCCGGGTTGTTGTAACGGGCAGCACTGGCGAGACGGTTGAGCACTTTGTCATGACGTTCGGTTTGCACCCGTTTCGATTGTTCATCGCCACAGAAACAGAGGAGGTGGTGGATATCCTCTTCACGGCCACAGGCAGCACATTTATCGTTGCTCTGGAAGCGCCAGCGCATACGGTTGACGTTGGTAGGCATCATATCCAGTCGACTTTTGACGGCGAAGCTATAGGCGGCAGGGTACAGGTCGTCGGTGCGGATCCAAGCGTTGGAGGCAGGGTGTTGCAGGGTGGAAACGGTATGGCCTTGGATAGGTTGACGTTGCCACTCGGCAAGGAGACGCTGTTGACAAAGTCGTTTGAGTTTCCCTATTGTGGTACGCTTCATAGGTCGTCGGTTGTCAGTGCTGGAGGGAGTGGGCGTTGGTAAGATGAAACTGAATTTGTTAGAGTTAGTGGTGTTCGAGTTATCATCATCCGAAAGGAGTTCTATATCGCAGCCGATATGGCGAATCGCAGAGACAACGTTGGCGGTAGGGTCGGCGGTATCGCGATAGATGCGTTGTTTAAGGTGCTCATATTTGCCTTGCAAGTAGGCCAAGATGTGTTCGTCCGTGAGCTGGTTCGTAGGGAAATCCACAGTATCGCGAGTGTTAGGAGGATGATAACGAATGGAAAGCAACGTGCGAATTTCCTGGCGAATAACAGATCTGACAGCTGGATCACGCGAGTTGAGAAGACACACGACATGTGCGGCTTGAGTGCTTGCTGCCCAGTCGACGGGATCATAGAATCCTAAGCCGCCATTTTCCACGGGTGTGTGAAAGGCCGCACGAGACGAGCTTCTCGGCATCTTGGTGTAGTGGCAGATGGTGTGACGAAGGAGACGACCGAACTGGTTGGCTTGGTAGTTCCCGAGACCATTGAGACGAATGTAGTATTCGATACGCGGTAGAATAAAGGTCTTGAGAGCGTGGTGTTTCTGGAATATACGTAAGCCTGAGCGAGCAATGATGGTCATGTCTTTCTTGAAGTCGGCGAGTAACTGGCGATAGGATCGGAAGAGACCAGAACGTTGGAGCCCAACAGAGTTACCGAGATATTTCCAGTCATCTGTGAGAGCAACACGAGGAATGCTCGCACCATGGTAGGAAAGAAAGATGTTGTTATCATTGCGGCGTCGGTTTCGTCGACCATCGGGGAGTGTCCCAGAGAAGCAGGTTTTGGTGGCGTTGACAGTGTAGCCGTGTTCATCCATAAATGAGATCACTGTTCGGTGCAAGCGTCGAAACTCGGACGGGTCATGCGACAAGATTGTGAGATCATCAGCAAGGAGTAGGTGATTGTGGCGAAGATCTGTTCGTGTCGATAAGGCGTTGAGTCGATGCGAGAGTAGAAGCAAGCAGAGTGAGAAAATTATGGGTGACGCGGGATCCCCTTGTTTGGTGCCGCGATGTAGGTTGACAATCGGTGAAGGGCCAGCAGGCGTAGCAATCCAGCAGCCAATGGAATCGTACAAGCTCATAACAATGCGGGTCGAGCGGTCATCGAGACCAGCGTAGCGAAGGGACTGTTGGATTTCAGTATGGGAGACACTGCCAAACGCATCCTTGAGATCGTACGAGCAAACGTACAGAGGCAGAGCGGTTCGGCGTGCATGGCGGATGGTGGCGTGAAGATAGTAGTCATGTTCGATACAGCCAGGGGTCCGCATGAAACCTTTTTGGTTGTGAGGCATACGGGGTTCGACGATCGTGCGTAGCAGTCGGTCAAGAGCACCGGAGTAAAGCTTGGCGGCTGAGTTTTGGAGTGCGATTGGGCGCCAATTGTTGGCATCAGTAAGGTCACCTTTCTTGGGTAAGAGGATCGTATGAGACAAGCGCCAGTGCGTAGGAATCCAGCTAAGTTCGTAGCATCGTTGCGAAATGGCCAATAGCCAGCGACGGAGACAAGGGAAAAGGCCCCAAACCTTGTACGGTATACCATCGAATCCGGGCGACGAGTTTTTGTTAAAATGTTTAATGACATCGTCGATGATACTCGCGGTGATAGTGCCGAGAGAGATGGTGGGTTGTTGAGGTTCAGGGAACGTCGATGCGGAAGTGTCGTTGTGGGTGGATGTTGCGCCATATTTCGAATCGAAATGAGCATGAACGTCAGCAGGTGAGAGCCTACAGCGAGCAGGTGGGGTCGGATCCAAAAGTTGGTCGATTGTCTGTTTAGGGCGGTGGCGGTAACGATGGAACAATGATGTCGCTGCGGAACCGGCTCGGATATTTTGGCATTGACGGATCAAGCGGCGTCGTGCAGGGCCTGAAAGCGAGCGGTCATTATTCAAACGATCCGTTATGGCATCGACGTCGGTCATGGCTTGTAAACCATCGGATTCAGAACGTGGTTGGGTTGGACGTGTATAGTCCGCCAGAAGCGAGTACAAACGATCGTGGAAACGATTGTTTTTGGCATCAATGTCGTCGTGAGAGTCGGAAGGTAAAATCAAATTGGTCTCGACGAGTTCCATGATGGTTAGTTCTAATGCTTTTCTGGCTTCGACGTTCGGAAAGTATGGCAATTTAAGCGCACGACGAGGAACACGAGTGGACATGACTTCTGAGATAGGAGGGTAAATCCCGGGATTGTGGGGCCGCCATGGCTGTATCGAAGGTGCATCAATGTCCATCAGAGTCGAAGGAGCTGCATGAGATGGTAAAAAGGTAGTGGGGGCAGCTATCGGAGAGGACATGAGTTCATCAGCGGGCGAGGGTGCAATCGAGGGGATGTGCTCAGTAGTAACATCGTGAGTCTCAGCAGTGGAGCAATTCATAGGTGTGGGTAGAGAAGTGGCCAAAACGGTAGTGCCAGCGGCGGGAACAAGAGCAGTGGGGACATGCGCAGAAGGAGCATCAGGCTGTCTGGAGTAGTCGAGCCATTGTTGAAGCCGTGAGTCTATGGATGCGGGCGACATGGCGCGATTATTTGGCTGGGAGCGTTGGAGGCGTCGTTGTTGGGTGTCATTGTGGAGAGCAGCAACGAGATCAGAGTCCAGGCTGGAGACAGAGTTGTCGTCAGAAAAATAATCGGCGGCAGCCGGGCGGGAAGCTGGTACTTCCTCCGAGGCGACGAGAGCCAATGGTGAAGGAGGGGTGGAAGGAATTGCTGGGATCGATGGCTCAGGAGTTGGTGACATTGAGATGTGAGTCATGGAGCGACAACGTGGCGGACTGGGAGCTGGTGCACGAGAGGCAATATTGGCAAGCATAGCAAGAGCAGTTGCTGCAGTATCGGCCGAGATTGGGGGTGCAAGGTTAGCAAAGGCATCCGTACAATCATCGGGATCAGCAGTAGACACACGGGCAGGGGTCGGGGGTGGTCGAGGGACTGGAGCTCCATCGATGTTAGCGACACGAGGACAACGATGTCCTTGGAAATCAGGTTGAGGCGAGCGAAGGGCCATAGGCCGTTTTCCAAGCACACTGGCTGTAAGGCGAGGGCTGGATTCGGGAGTCCTAAAAGGCGTACTGATCGGTGAAGTCGATGGTGGCGTGCCGTAGATCGCATCGTTTACAACTGAATCATCATCGTTATCGAGAAGGTTACTATCAGCGGCGGCAGCTTCGTCGAGAGTATCAGCAGTGGGGGCGACATTAGTGGTAGATGAGCGCGGCTGAGCAATGATGGTGGCAGCGTCGGTCTCATTGGCATCCGTTGAGGGAGGAGTAGAGGCGATGGCCGGTTCATTGGCTTGACGTGTAGCTTTGAGCTGGGAGACAGCAGCGTTGACGATG